GCTTCATGACGCAATGAGATAAACTATAACCTGGAACTGAACCTTGAATCTGATTTTGCTGAGTGTATAGCTTGAAGGACGGGCAGGTCGAGCTGGTAGAGCTGAACTTCAGTGACTCACATGGGCGAGGCTTCATATGAGCCACCGACCACTTCCGAGAGGTGAGGTACTCAACACAGTTGAAGGCACAGTTGAAGGACCTGGCCTTTCCGTTCTTTCAAGAACTGGAGCAGTAGTAATTTAGGCTTGCGCGGAAAATAGCATTGAAATCGTTCACCACTCATTGAGACCTACCTGATAATCGATAACTTCAATTACAGGCTGGGTGTTTCGGGAAGTCTACAGCAGCGTGCACATTTCAAACACGATAAGGTCGTTGGTGTTTTCTCTTGGTCCCCTGTAAACTATTTATTGTATGTCATCAATGCTATACTCTGTGCAGCGAGTGGCTCATCGTGGTGTCAGCCCCAGTAGTCAGTATGATACATGAGAGTGAGAATGCCACCCCTCCTGGTATGACCTGCTTGTCAAAGGAGCTATGTGTGAGCAAACATCACACAAGCTCCTCAAATACCTTCCCAATACTGTCATTCTCTCCGTAGCAGATTGCGTAAGCCGTCCTAGCATATTCCCTCGCCGGTGCGCATAGCTCAGGGGCCACAATCTTATACACATGGAACATGACGAGGAAGGCCGTTACGATATGCTCGCCAGGTGGACCCCATTTGATGATCTTTAGATGGCGCTTGCCTGATGCTTTCACAGCCCGGCTAGCCTCGAGAATGAAGCCACGAGCCTCGAGACTCTTGATGGACAACTCGAGAGCCTCTAAGTGTTTTCCCCTGTCCAGTCGCTTCTGGGCGAGCGCAAGGTACGAGTCCCATAGTTCCAGACGATAAGATCCTTTTCCGGCGGCGTGAGTCTCCTCGAGCTGGCCAATTAGCCGTTGTGCCTTGGACTCTTGAGCTAGAGTCCTGCAAGCTTTCATGGTGCTCTTCAACTCTCGGAAAAGCCCTTGGCGTTTTTGGAAAGTCTGCTTCGAGATCGACTTCTTCTCTTCGCACAGCTCACATCGGCAAGTGAACCCCCAATTTTTTAGATGCTTCTGAGTTTCATCATAGCTCGCACATTCATCAGGCGGCCGGTAGCTGATCAGCAACTCCGTGTCGGCGTCCATGTCTCTCGAAGCTCGCACCACCATCACGTCTCCAATGAACGAGCGGCGACAGTTGCCGACACATGAGTGATTGATGTGGGACGCTTGAGTCCAAATGCCGCAGGTGGTATAGCTTCCTTGTTGAACTTCCGTATCAGTCAAGTGGAGGACGGATGCTCGCGGTGCACCGAAGCAATTAAGACCCATGATCTTCGCGACAAGGAACCTGTGATAGAGTTAGTGCTGAGACCTTCGCGTATTCCCATGAGATACTAACGTATCTACCACGGTTCCGATCTGCTCTGCAGTCTCGTCTAGTCGATACTTTCCGCGATGCAAGTCAAAGAAGCGGGAGGCAGTCTGGGGATTGTGATGGAGCTTCTGTACAAGGCCGGAAAGAAGATCTGCCTGCCCACCCATCGTCATCCTCTTTGTGTCCCAGCTCACAAGTATCTTGATGTTCTGGCGACTGACAGTATCGTCGTCGCCAGCATAGCTGTATGCAAAGGCTTTCTCGCAGAGAAGAAGTTCACCAGCCTTCACGGGCTTGGTTGTGAAGAGCCCTCGTCCACGTCCAGGGGATTGGCGCACCTCGACAGGACCAGTGTAGGTCGCACAGTCGATTGTAGGGGGGGTGGCCTTGGCCTGGTCGTGCATGTGCTTCCACTGGTAGATCCCCTGATCTTGCTCACGAATACGGCACATAGTCCGCTCCAGTTCCTTCCCTGCGTCACGGTTTTCGGGGTTCAGGATAACAACTTGACGTAGCTTCTCGGCGCAGAGCGAGAACTGTTCCAGCGCGTAGTGGGCCTTGGCTTCTCTGAACAGTCCTTTCTCGGTTGGGTCATTGTCCTGTCGGCTCTCAATGGCATCGCTCAGTGCCTTCTCCGGGCGATGAAGCTTGAGGTTTGCCAAGGAACGGTTAAGGAGCGCTGCACGCTTATGTTCAGGCGTGGCAGCAGAGTCGAGTGCCTTGGAATATCTAAACCGCATTCAGTAAAAACCTCCTCGATATCAATAGTCATCATATCTGCTGCTCACAGGATTTCTGCTTTTCCCCAATCTTGCTGTGCTACAGCATTGTTTCCTTGCTGCCGGATCTTCTCGGAATTGGCACTAGGAGTCCACGTCTTCCACTGCGACGGGATGCGTTCGTCGCCCTCGGGTAGTAGGATGATGTCGTCAACGTGGTCCACTCGTAAACTGTATTTGCCATCGGTAGTCGCCTTGAAGAACGGGTCCTTGATGAGGCAGATGCTGCCTTCCGGGAATATGTCGTCAGGTTGCATAACCCTATGATCCGGCTGGTTGTAAAGTTGGAGTAAGACGGCGGTGCCGGCCTTGTCCTCAGCAATGGCCATGATTGCGTTGATCTGATCCGTGGGCGTCATTGTCCGTACGATGACTAGCTTGCCTCGGTGGTGCTCTTCCAACCTCATCTTGGAGATTGGCAGAGGCTTTAGCTCGTTGACAGGCTGGATACAGGGCAGATATGCCGGTGGAACCTGAGTAGTTGCAATATTCGACCCTCCACTAGAAGCTGCCGGGCGTGATATGCGCATTGATCTTGCCAGCATGAACTGCATCACCAACACATCGGGGGGAGGATGATCATGAGGAACGTATCCTTTTCTGCGGCCACATCGTTCCGCGGCAGCTTGGAGCCGTTCCATGAAGGAGGCAAAGTCGCCGAGATTAGAAACGTCCCTGACGTCCATGGCGATTGAAAGATGATGTAACGCGTCGGTGTTGATTGATCCTGGTTATCGTAGCTAAATTCGCAGATTCGGTCCTCGAGGTGAGTGCGTTGGGTGAGGTATGAAGAAGAAGAAGTGGTAAGAAGAAGAAAAAGAAGAAGAATTAATAAGGCAGGGTAGGAGCAGGTTTTAATTTTGTTTGAATGTAGATGAGTACATGATTGGGTACTCATACATCTGTTGGTCGTATGCGGGAGGCCGACTGCCTGACGGGAAGATTTTAGGCACAGCCCTGTTGTTCAGATTTAGGCTCACTTGAGGTACTTAGGTAGCATATCAAAAAAGCTCAACTCTGAAGTCTCACTTGATAGTAAGGGGTCTCCTGCCTCGAGGGAGCTACGTACCTTTTTTGTCCTCCACGACACAGGAATATCCCATGGCGGAGGCTATCTCTAAGAGGAAAATCACACTTGGAGATGAATCTTGAGTCTTAGACTATCGATCGAGGTAAAGATCGATTAAATCCACAAGCTCAGTGAGTCTCAGCCTTGCAAATGCTCTGAAGGAGAGAATAGAGGAATGGCCATTACTTCTTCATCGCCACAAAGCCATTATGCTTCAAAAGTCCTTTCACCGCAGATGTCTTTCTATAAACAGACAACTCTCTTTAGCGTAGCTACTTCTTCATCCCTGTGTTACCAAACGTACATGACTCCAAGTCCAAAACTGGCATGTAGGCCAATGGCTATGTAAACCTAAAACTCTCAAGACATTCATAAATCTAGGTTTTTGTCTCTAATCTTAGCAAAGGCTAGGCCAGTGGCAACTAAAATGGTGGAAACCAATCCAATATGAGAGTAGACTTGATATAATGAAGTATAAAGGCTATCAAAGAGGCAGGCCGATGAGCCCTTGTTGCCATATCTTTTCACATCAGGTGGTGGTGTTACTTGGCCACGGGATGCCTACCCCTCAGCAGCCCATGCACCAGAGTCTTCCAGCGTTTTCCATCACCCTTCGTCACCTCAGCACCACGTAAACAAGCTTTCAAAAAGAATCTGCTCTCTGTAGCGCCATTTGAGGGTAATTCTGAGTACCATGTGACCCGCCTCACAGTGCTTGGGGTTGATCGCATTCAACCCGGCAAAGCCGAGCTTCATATGTAAGGATCGCCGTGGTCCCTGAGATTCTCAAACCAAGACACATGATCAACGAAAAGAAATGCAATGCCGCGTAGAGAAGTTTGTATAAATTGGACATGATTGCATCGCTATGAAGAATTGTGCAAAGTGATGTTGAGAAACGTTGACTGCAGTAGCAACAGCACTACAGAAGCGGACAGCATTTAAGGTATGCACCCCTGTCTACGAGCTATCCCACGCTTCAACTGATCTTACAGGTGCCTCAGTCCATCAGAATATGCAGTCAGGATCTACACTCAACCGACCTCCGAGCCTCGTCATTAGGGACCCGCCAGACGACAACGGGTGGCCCAACATCCCACCGCTCCCACTCCCACCTCCGCTTAGCCCCCTCCGCAAAGGGCGTACATCCACCCCGACGACATGTCACGATTGCCTAAAGCGGATGAAGGACGCATGGCATTGGTTGAGAGGGTCATTCACTCGCTGGAGAAGGGGTGGCCACAAGAGAAGCCCCATAGCCGCATGAAGGGCGTGTGTGTGTAAGGGTGTAAGTGTGTGTATATATAGGTCAACTTCAGCCTATAGATGCCCAACAGAGATGCCGTAGCCTTCCCTTCTCGTATCGTAACTGTGAGCGTGGTGTGTACCCCTCCCCTCATATCGGAATCATCGTCGTCCTCCAATGATATCGTCGTAGAAATGTCCCAAAACGCCCCTCTGTATGCAAGATCCCGCGGCGGTATTTAGGGCTGCGTAGGTAAGGTACGCATGCTGTGCCCTGCAGCCCTATGCCCGACATCGTGCCATTCTGAAATAAAAAACTATCCAACCCGTGTCCCCCAATCTAGTAAAAGTACAGTTTGTGTGTTCGAGCCAATGGAGCGCCGTGAGGCAGACGACATGCTCCGGTTGTGTGGTGTCGCCTCTTTCATGTTGTGTGTATTCCCGTAAACGCCGTCGATAGAGATGTGTTTGCTTAATTGTAGCTGGAATCGACTTGGCTTATTTTCCCGGGACTTTCGTAGAGTTAGTAAAGGAAGCGTTACGTTTAGATTCGAAGAACTCACGAGGGTCAACGGGGAAACTTGTCTCATCTGAGCGTTCCTTCTGGAGCATCATGGGGGTAGCGTGGGCAGTAGTGTTCATGGTGGCGATTGGTCGTAAGAGGATTGAGGATTGGGAATGAGTCGAAGTAGGATGAGGCAGTGGTAGTCTTGTGATGAAGTAGTGTATGACTGTTGGTGTGAAGTGTAGTGTGATGAGTCTGTTGGAAACAAAAGAGATTCAAGGCATCAAGAAATCACAGAGCATTTATATCCAACGGACCTCCAACGAACCTCCAACGGACCAACAATCGAGCTTCATATTGAATCGACCTTGGATTGAGTCACCCTCAGGCAGAAGAGTGTGCCTGGGGAGGCAGACAAGACAATCTGAGAGGTTCAACGACTTAGTGCCCCCTAGTCAACGTTGACTTGAGGTTCGACATGGCAGTGCACGGTGACTCGTTACGACAATGTGAATGGAAATACCATATCTTTGCACGCGATTGCGCATATTCGGTATGGCGATCCTGGTTCGGTAGCAATGTAATTCCTAAAAACCCAGGGATTCGCGAAGTCTGATTCGTCTACGGTATAGGTTGTCAACATCTAAGCCTGGGTGCCTTAACGATGTGTATCAGGTAATGGACCCCAACAGATTGTAGAGCTAGCCGCAGTGCAAGGCAGATCAAAGACAAGATCCCAGTGAGTCAGATCGGTGCAACTGCAGACCCCTCCTTCCCGGAATGGATGAATTGATGAGGACATGACCACGGCCTCAGAAACGCATCGACGTTTGCAGAATGGAGGGGTTGGGAGACGACTTGGTTGCCTGGGTTAAGACGTGTTTGGTGACGGAGATGACATGGGGGTCCTAGACGGTCTGAGGCAGCAACCCCCATATTTTCCAGGCACGAGGGGAGTCCGCGCCCTGGAAATGCAGTGCTTTTCGGCGACAAGGAGACAGGAGAAAGGGAAAACTAATCCAACGCCAACGGAGTGCTAGGTCTCGTCACGAGCAACGGATATGTGCGCGCCGTTGCGTATGACTGACAAGGCACCAAGTTGCTCATTGTTAGCGGGTGTGGCTTTGCGCTTCGGTGTAAAACGGCAAGGGCGCGTTTGCGCCCTTGCGCGCGAGGGGCAGGGAAAAAAGGTTGGAAAACGGAACAACAATGACAAAATAGAGGCACGTCGGGGCAATGCAATGCTGTCACTGCCCGTGTGACTGATCTCGGACAAACTGGGCAACTCTCGACAGGCATTACTTGCTCCGGTGGTGAGTCGAAGGCCTCAAGGCTGACTGGAACATGGTGCCGGTGAGGCTTGCGGGACGGGTACGGAGAGGCGGCGGAACAGTCATTTTTACAAAAACTCGGAGTATGTCGGGAATCACTCCCCCATTACATTTCTCGGTGACGGGCTCCGTTTTGATTGACGGAACCGGAAACCCAAGAAACATGGGATAGGAGGCACAGCCCAGTTTCCCTCTAGCACTCAAACTGACCGAACCACAAGTGGAAGAAGTTACGTCGAGATCGGTTGATTATTTTGGTGCAAAGTGTGTAAAGAGGAAAAAGGGTTCGAGAGAGAGGGGAATTGTGGTCCGCCAGACAAATAAAGAGGTGTCGTTGCCTACAGGCTGCCCTGCTTAGCTAATGACATGTGCTGCCTAAGCTTGAGCCAATCAGGGCTAGCACGTCGTCAAACCTCGTGACCTAGGAGAAAGACGGCGTCTCCACAATTTTTCGACCTGGTTTTTCTCGCAAAGTATATTTTCACGCGTTCCCCTTCCCTCTCCTCTCTTGTGTTCCTCATCAGTATCAACAACAGTTCGCGGGCCACCCATCCCAGCTTGGGCTACGGATCTTATGCATGGTCCTTTTCAGATTCCAGGATGACGTTAGACTGCCGTGTGATATCGCACGGCAGACTGCGTCTCGGTATTGAACCAAACCGTCGTCCATGGCTTTGAGCAAGTGCTGAAGCCAACCGACACGGACAAGCCCGCGAGCTCGTTTTGATGTGTGCTCACAGCACATAAGGTCTTTGGACCAACCCCACGATATGCCTACACCTCGCGATCTTACTGCGCAAGAGTGTCAACTACTTTTTTATTCGTTCGAGTGGGAGAACAAAACCAACGGTCTAGACAACCGGTCCGCTCCACCCTGATACCGTCGAGATAGTGCGGCTTCAGGACTAAAATCGGACGAACATATCACAAGGCATCTCACACGAGTTGCACGTGGTGCGTTCTTAATTTACCGTGATTGGTGTCATTATAGTAGAGTCATTATTCCTAAGCCCATGTCACCGAGTTGTACCTGCCATCAGATATATATGAAGGGTATTCCGACATCCTCTGCGCAAGAATTGCAATTCCACTCCATCCCTCGAGTCATTAAACTTCCGTCAAATCCAGTGCTCGCCAAAGATGTGCTTCTCGTCCATGAAAGACAACAAGAACTTGGACACCAGGCGACCCGTATAGTTGGCCGCTACATCTCGCGGGAACGGGTGCTGCTCGTGGTCGGTCGATAGGATTGGGTCATCCGCCAATCCTTCGAGTTCCTTGCCTATACACCACAAGTCAGCATTGACGGTTTAATCATTGGATTGTCGGGTCAGCCTACCATTCTGATGGATCAAATTCCTCAGGCCCAAGACCATCTCTATGGCTGGTCCGTCCAAGTCGCCTTGCTGGGCCCATGAGTTGTCGAGCATGGGATTGAAGGGCTTGTTCGCCGTATCCCGGCTGTGGGTCTGGTAGATCTGGTGGAACTGGTACGCGAACTGCTTGAACGGCATGTTTTCGACCGCTGCGTTAATATTCAGGGCGTCTTGCCGTTTGTATTCCGGTGGCGTGTGGTTACGCAGGCTAATCTCGTTGAGAGCCACAACAAAGTTATCCGCGGATGTCTCGACCGATTCCATAAAGAGGCACAGTACCAGGAACGAGGCCATACACGGCGCCCACTCCTGTTTTGACTTAGGCTTGAGCAACTTTGAGAAGGACTCAAAGAGATGCTGCATGTCCCTCATCAGGAGCTCGTCAATTACCGCCTTGATCTGCCTGTTGACGACGCGTGGGGTCACCCATGGTACTTCCTGAGGGACGAGACCAGAATCCTGGAGGCCCACGACACTCTGCCGTGTGATGCAGAGGTGGCGGGTCATGACGAAGTGGGCGCCGTAGATCGCCAATGCCTTCTTCACCATTGACGACTGGGTCGGGTCAACCAATGCTCTTACGCAAGACAGTCAGTAGCATGGTAACTTACATCAGACTTATTAGCGTATACCTGCACAACGTCCAAGACCTTCTTTGGCAACTCGGTGTGCCGTATTGACTCTGTCACTGATTTTGCGAACCTCGGTTCGGCTGCGATAGCAGCGAGGTACTCCTTCACCTTCTTCCTCAAGGCCTCCCTTTGAGCTGCCGAATCCAACTCCAACACCATAGGTGCCGAGCCTCTGGCTTGCAGGTCTATCCGGTCTTTTTGCACATGCAGATGGTAGTGCTGCTGTACTTCCTCCGTTCGAGGCTTGAAGAACCTCGCTCGAACCTTGAGCGACGCCGAGAGACCAGAAAAGAGCTCTACCTCCCGGGGCGCTAGTTGCACCGCGTCAAGGTCGACATTCTCCTCCATGAATTTCGACATTTGATCCTTGCGGAAGTGGCTGCGCATGAAGTCGGGGAACAACACGGTCAAAAAGTCGGAGAATTGCCAGCAGACGACCTGCGGCACCTGGCCGGCAAGCTTTTTACAGCTCTTGCACGGCCTTTGCGAGTCGCACTTGACTTTGCGGCTGTGGCAGCAAAAGCAGGCACCCAGACGGCGAACTTGCAATGCGCTCTCCTTTGTCGCATTTGCCAGAGGCCCCTTGCGGCCACGCGTTTGAATTTTCATGGCTTCGAAGCACTCCCACGGGTTGGGGCGACCCGATGAGGCGTTGATGGAGTTGGGCGTCACGATGACGAATTTGTTTGCGGGTTCGGTAGCCTTCTTCTTCTCGACCTTGCCGGTGATAACCTTGCGGATCTGGCTGGCTGATGCTGCCCTGTCTCCCTCATGTTTGAGGTCCGGGGAGCTGGAGTTGGACTGGGAGGGGCTTGTGGATGTGGAGCTCTGAGACGAGGTTGCGGAAAAGTCCTCCATCAAGAACGTTGAGCTGCCATTGTCGACCTTGAGGTTCGTGGGGTTCCATGGGCCCGGGTTGATGCTATGAGAAAAGGTCTGTGACAGGTCGATATCGCCATCGTGCTGTTGTTGCGGGAATGTGTCTAAGCCGGTCAGGGAGGCATTGTTCGATTGGAATGAGTTGACGAAAGATGTCAGTTCTGAGAACAAAGACAGTTAGCTCACGTATACTTGAAAGTCGGCCACGGGCGGAATGAGGACTCACCATTCAGGTTCAGCTGCTCCTCTGCAAAGAGGAAGCCCTGTGGTGTCAAAAAATTGGATTCCTGGCCGCTGGGAACGAACTGGCTATCAACAGACGGCGCCGGGGCAGCAAACGCCTCCGCTTGGTCGGGGAAGCTCGAGGCGGAGAAGGCGGGCTGGTCGAGGTCGAGGTTTAGCGGGGATAGGCCCGCCGGGTCCGAGCCGGCATGGTGGCCGACGACGGCAAAGCCGTTGAGACTGCCGCTGGCCGGGCTAGGTAGGAAGCCGACTGAGGCCGGATACGAGGCGTAGTCGAGATACTGCCATGATTCTTCGGTGTCGGCCGCGGACTGCTGATCGTAAGGCGAATGAGGCGTCGGGCCCCTTGAGGAAACAGAAGCCATTGTAGTTTCTGTGAGTAGGCAGAACCTATAAGTGGCGAACCGTTGAGTCGCCCGGCGCTTTCAATCCGCTCGGTGAGTTCGATTCGATGATTCCGTAGCCCCTTGTGGTTCTGTTGAGAAAACAGAACAACAGGTCCTTGTTTCCTCACAACGTCGAATGGCCAGTAATCCGGGGAGGCTGTGTCTGCTTACTTCCAATTCTGCAACTGGCGCGGGGGTCACTCTCCGGACAAGCGAAAAAAATGCTAGGCCTTGTCTCGTCTCTTCTCCCTTTCAACACTCATCGGAGTCGCGATTCGAATTGTCGTTGGCCGGACTCGAATAGATGTTGCTCAATCTCACGAGTTACCCTTTTCTCACCGTTCTTTACCGCTCGGGAAAGTCATGCAAAAGAGCGGGAACGAAGGGGAGACGGTGCGAAAAGGGCAGCCAACAAGATTAATACGAGGGGGGAGAACAGCACTGTCACACACTCAACCCCCATGACAGCAGATGAGCAGAGGGACCAGTAAGCAGCGGCGCCGCAGCCATCCCGCGCAGACCCGTCAACCTGTAAGGTACTTTCTTGTGGGCACGCTGTGCTGCTGGATGAGCTGGTCCTGGTCTCCGCTCCTTCGGCCCAGCTGAGCCGCTAGGCCCTTTCTGGGACCGAAGGTGGATCCACTGCTCCACGAATGAGGGTGCACTAACCCGATCCATCACCGGCAGCTCACCGGGGCCCGGAGCTGCGGGAGGACCCTACTGCCGTACCGGTGACCGTGGTGACCGAAGCTGATTCCGGCTCTTGCCATCGGAGAACGCACTTGATGCCGCGGCTCCGTTCCGTGGCGAGAAAGGTTGAATTTCAGGAAACTTCAACTGGATTAGAGTGGCATGAACGGAAGGCACAAGATACCTACCCTTACCTACCTTGCCAATTATACATCAGCGTTGCGTTTCTAGCAATCGGCACTGTCCTCTTCCCTTCTCCCAATCAAACCAACGTTGTTTCCTCCGTTTGACCTCCATCACCTGAGAGGCGCTTTATCAATGCAACGCCAACCCGACGTCAAACTTATTTTCACCACGAAACTTTAACGTACGAAAAGACTGATTTCTTATTCCGTTCTTATAATTGCCTCAGAGATCGACAGTAAAGCTCATACCAGCGAACCGGCCCGAGCCCCAAGACCCTTGATGATTGACCGTCATCCAACATCCCTCAGGATTGCATCCCGCTCCCCGTCGATATCAAAACCCCCAGCAGTCATAACATCAAGCCTCGAGTGCAACTTGACTCAAATCGACCTCCCACACTCCGCCACTCCGCGTCCTGTCGTTCTTCGCATTACGAACCGCCTCCAAGCATCTAGCTGCATTCATGTATCAGAGGACAATCGCTCCCCGGATCTACCAGAGTGGGTAAGCTCCCAACCCGCCGGCATTCGACCTTTGTCCTCACGACACCACTGTAGAAACACCAACGCCAACCTCGTTTCTCTACCACGATTACAATGTCGAGTCTGGCAAGCTGATCATCACGCCTCCTCTCTCATGTGACTAGAACAACACCCAGCATCCCCCGCCAAGATAAGGTTTAGCGCGCGCGGCGCTTGACTAGCACTTACACGCACAACGTAAGGATACATCTGTCCGTCTGTTTGCAAGTCCAAGACTCCAAGTTGGCACAGCTCAGACCACAAACCCCGTTCGGCGCGGAAGCTAAACGGGTCCATGCCGCCCGGCACGGCCTCCCCGCCGACGCCGGTGTCCAGGGTCACATATTGCCACTCGCCTCAGGGTGAGAAAAAGAGGAAACGGCTGGGTTTGCTGGATTATATGCCGCTTCCGTCGGCATCCTGCCGTCATTCCTAGCCTGCTCCATTCCTCCTCTAGGCATCTTGGCCGACACTACACAAGGGCCGGTGGTTTCTTTCGTGACCCCGTTGATAACTAGCGAAATTGAAGGCAGAATATCCAACTACGACAGGCCGGCTATAGCATCGTTGGTCATCCTGTTCACGATCCACCCCGACACGAAACTAGCTCTCACACCTCGAAACAATGATTCAGGATCCCGAGTCCGAAGTTGGCACGGCACCTTCGTCACAGACAGAAGCACGTTCCAATTCTGCCCGGGTAAACCCAGTGAGTCGCGTGCCGGGACGAGCCCCCTTCTTCCACTGCGTCCTCCAATCTGCTTGGGATCCCACCACTTCAAGTCGATACAGTGGGATAATGTCCCCAAGATAGAACATCCAAACCACCGCAACCATGGGCATTGCAAACCTTGTTCTGTCACACAGCTCTGCTTATTCACTCTCTAGTCAGCCAAGATTCGAAACCACCTTCTACCGGACTCTAACGTTCTTCCAGAATTCCGCTCTTTTCGCATCCTTGCTTCCCTGTGCTCATGGGCTTTATTCCCAGCACCGGCCTGTCTGGTCGCGCCCTGGAGTGTACTGATAGCAAAGCATAAGGAACTCCATTCCTGGCGACAATGAATCAATCGGACGCCGCTATCTGGGCGATAGAACTGGAGAAAATCGCAAAACAGAGCACAAGCCAAGATGGGGCCTTTTGGCCTGTCTGCCATGTGCCCCGGTTTGCTTGTCATTCTTCAACACGACCTCGCCAGTCCCACCAGCAACCTCATCGCATACTTGTCTATGTAACCCTACCAATCACCGGATACTGTAAGTCTACATCGCACTATTCACCGGCTCTTTGCCTCGCCTTTGACATGAGTTGTCAAGGGGGGCACGCGGCGCAGTCCGACGGGATTCTATGCGGCACGCAGATCGCACCCCTTCTTTCCCATCCATCTTCAATTCACTTTTCCAACAGCTTGCTTACCCCCCGGTTTCATTGCTTCGCCTCCCCGGCCCTGACCCTTCTTCCCCGGGGGACCCATCAGGCGGGATGCGACACAACGGTCTCCCCATCGACTTACAGAGCTCCCTTGGTCGTTTTACAGTTTGCGTTCCCCGTTCTTGGCCAGGTGATAGTGTAAGATACATCCATCGATCGCCGCTGATGGCCCTTGGTGGTCCTTCCCGCTGAAGTCACTCCGTCAGGCACGCAAGCGGGAACCCCATCGGCTGATGATCACCGTTCATTTCAGCCCAACCCAAGCGCCGTCGGGTGGGGGGGGGGGGGGGTTGTTAACAAAGTCGCACCGATAGGACAGGGGCAGAGGCGACGGATACTTGGGTTCCTGCCACACCTGTCCTGCCATCATGCCGGGTTAACAAGCCAGATGGCGTAACTTTGGCTCCTGGAACTCGCGCAGGGAAGACGCGTGAGCACCCCCCGTCCCCTACTTGATGGCAGGAGTCAGGAGCCGTGCGACGAACAGAGCGCTTCAAGTCATGACGTTTACAAACTGGATACCGGCACATTTGAAGGACAATGCGTAGATTTCTGGCGCTGAGAGAGCGCGCCCAGCCACGGGCTATAGGATATCAAACTGCCAAAGGCTCATCTAAGCCGCCCAAATCAAGTGAGTAGAGAAGAAGACAGCACTAGTATAGTAGGGATATGTCCAAATTGCTCTCTCTCTCTCGTGAACCGCACAAACAGAGACAAACAATACGCACAAGCGCAAAACAAACGTTGTCAAAACAGCCATCCGGTAGCCCAGTGTAAGTGAAGGGTGTCTGTCAAAAAAAAGATATGACCCATTGAAACAACTCCAGGCCCCCAAACCACGCCGTGGCAGTGCAGAAACGAATAGCAAGCCACCAAAATAACAGGGCCAATGTACAAAGAGGTTTCCGCCCTTTCCTGATGAACCTGTAGCGCCCACCGCTTTCCCTGTAGCATGCTCATGCCCTCTTTTGCTTGCGAAACCAAACCGTAAAGGGTCAAGTAAAGGTATGTATGTAAGTGTGTGTGTCGTGTGCGTGTGTAAAGAGGCAGTTCAGTCGAGAGTCCCTGGAGGCCGCAGAAGTAAAGCGAGGTTTTTCTGCCCACAATGGAGCGCCATTACCATTTCTCGTACAAAAATCAGATTCAAAAACAACAAACAAGACGCAACTCGCTTTGCCGAGAGGTGGAGTGTTGAGCTAAGCTAGAGCCTGTGGGTGTGTTCTCCTGCGTCGTGCCTTTGGAGGGCGCTGTCGTCCTGATGACGTCCCGGTTCCGTATCGTGGAATCATTTACACTCTTCTTCTCTTCTTCTAAAGAATGAGGTGGATTCCGCCCTTCTGCAATAACTTTCAGTTCGTAAGGTCCGTAAAATGTCGTAAACAAAGTGCCACGTTGGCCGCCAGCGTCGAGACACTCGCCGTGGTTTGCTGCGCACGGCGAGGTTGTCAACTTCGGCCTGGGCGAGTATATGGTAGGAGGAAGCATGGAAGCACACTAGCTTCTGAACCGCTGTGCAGCGCGATCTTGAATTTGCTTCTCCGTAGAAACGTATAGTCGGTCGAGGTAGTCCATGGCGCTCGCGTCCTTGAGGATCTTGGCTACCTGAATGCCCGCCGAAATGAGCTGTAAAATGTTGCGGTCGTCCTTTAATGGGCGACTCTGGTGCTTGGCCGCATGTCGCATTTCCAATGAATTCTCGAGAATCGTGACAAACTGCTTAATCTGGCCGTTGTAGAGTACCCGCGCCGGGATGCGGCGCTTCGTAGCCAGGCGCTTCAGGAGGTAAACCCATTCTGTCCATTCTCGGTCCTGAGGTCGCTCGACAGGTCGCATGTCCTGTGTCAAAGGAATGGGGAACTGATATTTGGCCACGAAGTCGTACGCGCACTGAGAGAGCCTGTCGTTGACTTGGGTGAGCACCAAGTCCTGCTCTTGAACGTGGAGGTTGGTAGGGAGATGGGGCAGTTCGCGTTCTTGCATGGCAATGTATTCTGGCGGCGGGCGAGCGAGAAACTGATGCGGGCCGTCGAATTCGTCGCGGTTAGAAGGTCGACGTTGTGGCCGACCCTTGCCATTCACCTTGCTCTTACTCGGGGGAGTGGTGCCAGCCCCGTTCTCGAGTGAATAATCAGAAAGGTTCGGGGACGCAATAATGTCGTCGACCGAGTCCGTCGGGGAGTATCTTTCCTGGTGATCCCATGATTGAGAGTTCGTACTCTTGTACGACCCGTAGCCGGCGGCACCACTGGTGCCGTATGTGCCAGAAGCTGGGCGCGATCCGTACGCCGGGGCAGCGGCAGCGGCAACAGCATGAGGATTGGTTCCGATCGGCAAATTGTAGTTACTAGCTCCTGGCGAGTACGTGGACACGCTTGAAAGGGACGGTGTTACTCGTTTGCTCCTTTGTGGGAATACATCATGAACAATGACGTCTGGTTCTTACCTCGATGAACGGTAGTAGTTGGTATCAAATCCTCCGGCAGGCGGGAATGTATCGTTGTACATTGAACTTTTCTCAACGGTCAGTCACCCCTCCTCGGGCATTGTTTGGAAATTAGGAGAGCGGTCCGTACCTCCGCGTCGAGTTCCACGGTCCGTTGGACATGGCTGATGGTCTGTAGGCAAAATCCGGCTGGGCCATATCTTCCGGGGGCATAACGGTAAAGAGAAAAGAAATCAGGCAGCAAAATGTTTGGAAATGTCCAAAGTGTCCTGAGATGGAAGCCACGTGAAATATGAATAGTCCTTGGGCGGGCAGGTCAGCCCTGGGTGTCCAAAAAAGAGTCCTTTGGGCTGTGATCTTCGGCCAAGTATTCCTGGGAAAATGCGGCAGGTTGTCTCCTCAAACACAAGGGAATCCACGATAACAAAAATGGTCTTGTTCCAGGATGGGACCCTTGAAGAACTCCGGGTCGTTGCAAGGGCGGTGTGCGTGATGGGGGGCAAGCAGGTGATCGGTCCAAGAAACGACCAGTCTCCACGAAGACACCTTAAATGACTTATAAGATGATCGGGAATGGCTTGACGTGAAAGACACTAGGGGGTTAGTGGGAGATGTCTGATCTTGCTGGCGCAAAATGGGAAAGAAGAAACCAACAAGCTCCTGGGATGGACGAGGATGGGGGAGCGGGCAGGATCCTGACAGTGGATGATTAAGTTCGGAATGGAGGCATTTATGTCTGCTTGCGATGTCCTTCCTCGTGGGGCGTTGTACTGGAGCGGCGACAATGGTTGATCCTGGTCAAGACAGCAAAATGATGTGGTCCGTTGGGAAGTCGAGGCGAAGGGAGGACAGGGACCAGGACAGACGCAGGCCGGCGAGACTCGAGTAAAGATTTGCATTCGCCCCAATGACCAACACCATGGACTCATGGAGACGTCTCTGGTTTCAAGCGGGACGGCTGCCGCATGGGCTGGAGGATACGTGACTGCCAAGCGCTGTAGTCCAGAAGGTTCATCTGTCGGGCGTCCTGGAATAGATTGGTCGACGGTGGGAGCCCCAGGACAAGTTGGCATCCATCCCTAGCTTGTCGAGCGTGGATCGTGGGCACGACACGCGAGTGACGAGGGAGATCAGCGTGCCCTTTGATTGCTGGTGCTCTTCGTGTCCCCCTCTATTTTTCGCGCGATGCCAGGTCGAATTTTTGACAGTTGGCCCCTCAGTCAAGGAAGACCCCAGAAGGAAGACAAATCTTATGGCCGGCCTGTGTAGGCTCACGCGTGGAAGCCATTGGACGTGCCAACTCCTGACGGAGGACGGAGCCAGTTGTGTCGAGTAGGGCACCGATTGGGCTGTGACAGAAACTTTTCCTTTGCTGGGCTGGAGGATTGTTGCCCGAAAGGTCGGAGTAGCTTTTCGGTACCGGATGGGATGATTTGTGCAGGGTTGTACCTAGCGGGAGAAGAAGCGGTGACAACAGGCCGGGTTGGGCACAAATTGGACAAGCAAACACCGACGGCCGATACGATGAGGGGACGCGCGCTACGTGCGAAATATGCGTGCCCAACCATGCCTTGATGCCCACCTGGTAAGTCGAAGTTGCTTTTGTGCATCATTGAATCAGGAACCCCCCATCGAATACCCCGACAGTGGCATTGCTCGGAAGGGGTCGACTGACTATTTACCAGTCAACCAATCATGCAGCGCTTTAGCAGACGTTCATCGTTGTCAAAATCGTGGGCGTCTTGCTCCGCTGAATCCCGGGTGGCTTCTGCTGCTTTAGCAGTACCGGGTCGGTGACCTTTGGAGCCTCAATGATTCGCGGACCCGACAAATGGTATGTGTGATCTGAACGTAGTGAACGTGAAGCTAGTCACGGCGATATTGAGGCAAGGGAAAGCTTATGGATCCAAGAAGATATTGCTGGGGTTGGTCAAGATTTGGGCGGAAGCGTCTGGGCCCCCCCGCCAGGGCCAATGGTGTGCACCCCGGAGGCTTCAAGCTGGTCGTTCGGCTGGCTGCGGGTGACTAGCCCATCGCCATCGACTTCCATCGCCAATCAAGCGGGATGACGTGCGCCTCGGTTAACCCCAGTATCCTGGCGTGCCTGGGTAGGTTCTCGATAACCTCAACGATTCGAACTCGACTGTTCCGAATCCAAGGGCGAACAGTGGTGGTCGGACGATCGCCGCAATCTCTGTGCATAATATGCCCTAGACAGGTTAATCGATCTCGGGGTGCAGTAACAGTCAGAAGCAGTCGAAACGAGCCAACGATTGCCGAGTGGAGGAGGGGGGCAGGATGGCTATTTCGTCTATTGATGAGCTGTCAGGCGGCGCCTCGTGGATTGCGGGGATTGCGGGACGATCAAATCGCCAAAGAGATAAAATGAGATGGATGACGTTAGTTGTTTTTGTTGCCAATTTCGTCACAAACGTATCGAGCTGCTGTCACATTTGACAGTTATTTTGGTGTAATGGCGACAACGACTACAGATACATCTCGTGCCATGTGTATGCGCTGCAAGATTTTGGGGGAAAGCCGTCGTTCGTCGGTCTGTGGACGGCGACACCTGTCGTTCCAGCAGCGCATTGATACAGGGTGGGTGGGGAGTTTGTTGTGTTGTTTCGTATGCCTCATTGAGACGACGTCTTTCTGGAGCGGAGTAGACCGTTGAATGTTGGCCGAAACAAAGGAGCAAAGATTCTTGGGCTCCCCATGTCTCCGGGCATTGAGAAGGCCGGGATGTTGCGCATGGCGGAGCGAAATGCGCATGACATGGCCGAAATCACAACCGGTGTGTCCCACTTTAAATCTGGCGATTCGGAAGGGTATGACCGGCCACTTCCACCGAGCTGTCAATGCGTCTTTGCTTCGTCGGGTCGATACTTCTATTCCGTTTTCCGGGATAACGGCTCGAGATCGAGTTCAATCGAGAGGCCCGTCGCGGGTTCCTGGTCGGCCCAGTTCTGCCACGATTGCCACGGTCGCACCTATGGAAGGATCCGGCCATGGAAGCATTTTCGAATCTTCGGTGTTGACGTTGGGAACAACACCGGCTTGGTAGTCTAGGTTGTGAGGATGATTCAATGGATGACAGGGTTGATGCTCGACGCTAAAGAGGACACTTTGGTATGGAAGATTGGTTTATGCCTTGCTTATTAGCGCAGGTAGGTTGAATTCTGGAATATTCTGTTCGTCTGTTTGAATCCTCGGCTGGGATGCTGGGCGGGAGGAAGTGTGGTTGTACGGTACTGTCAATCCGAAGTGAAGATGTGTTGCCTGATGGTGTATGGAGTAGTAACCTATGAGGCAGGGCGCCGCTTTCCCATTTGAATATTCACTTTTTTCCATCCAAGTTCAGGTCCTGCAGGTCCGGCCCTCCCTCTCCAGGCTCTTGAATACGCACCATCCATTACCTAAGGTACAACTCCAATGACCGGAAAAACAACGGCAGGACGTACTTGGAACCGACCTGTAGGGGCTTGGCGGGGCTGGATCGGGTGTTTCCCTGACCCACCAACTGACACCCTTCATCTCCTATTGGTCGAACTCTTATGCACCTCTCGTGTAGCAACTTCCACCTGACCGCTTACGCCAATCATCATCAACATCAGCGACGTTTTCGTCAAGTTCAGGAGGCTGATTAAACATGAAGGACGGAAGGCAGAGACTTCTAAGTCGCAAACTACGTGTATCTCTTCGCTCAATTCCAATCTCCCAGCTACCACTTCTATGCTGTCCCCTTCTTGCCCAGAGCTTTCCCAAGGATCTCATGCAGCCGCAAGATCAATCTCGCTCTGGTCCGCATAGCCGCAGTTCCCACCAAGCATGATCAATCGGCGCCGCTTCAAGCCCCAGGACTGTGTGGAGAATCATTGATGACGAGGTGTGTTGCGTTGATATGGCACCGCCTAAGAACCGAATACGCAAATTCCACCGTCGCAGCAAGAACGGTTGCTCGACGTGCAAGCAGCGTCATGTACGATGTGACGAGCGCAAGCCTTTGTGGTATGCACCTCTCTCTCATCTGCCATGCCCACGTCCCCTTGACAATACTCGTGCCCCTCAACTGCCCCTTATCCCACGTCCTGCCCGTGGAGGACCAACGCACAAGACATTCCTCCCGTTGAATGATTACCTAACATCGGCTTTAGCACAAACTGTCTGCAGACCGGCAAGGACTGTGTATATCCAGACGTTGAACCTGACGAGGAGTCTCGATCAGGTTCTCTTTCAGAGTCCCGACCTGGTTCCGAACTCACCGTTGTCCCGGCTGAAGAAGCCTCCATCATAACCAATGTCGTGTCAAACCAGCCATTTGCCGGCTTCTCATGCGACTACCAGATGTCGGCAATGTCGCAATGGCTCTGGCACCAATGTAAGCCGCCTTCTGTACCTCCGAGATCACTTGACTAACACCATGCCCAGTCACTGCCTTTTACGTCAGAGGTCAAACTCCGGTAGAAAGGGGACAGAATCTATGCAGGTATGGTTTCGTCTCCTATCCCACGGCATCATCCGGGCTAACATGAGCAAGCGTACAAAGGACACTTCTGCATCCGGGCCTGCTTCATGGCTGCCTTGTGGTTGCGGCTTGCCAATGGGCATGGGTCACTGGATCCCTTGAACACGTCAAGGTGCCGTTTCTCTATCACAAGACAGCCGCCTATGAGTTTGCGAAGCAGCAACTCTCCGAGTCTGAGGAAACCGTCAGCGACACAGCCATCTTTGCTATAGCCAGCCTGGCACTCACTGAGGTAAAGAACCATGACGTCCTTATGATAGAATTTTGTATGCTAAAGGCATGCGCAGGGAGCGGTTGGGGACTTGGATGCTTCTTCGAAGCACCTGCGCGGTCTTCACAGGCTGACTCTCAGGAAGAACGGCTACAACTTGATGAGATCAAACCTAGCGCAACAGATGCTGCAGATGTGAGTGGCCCCTTGCGGATAATGTGTAGCATTGACCGATTAACAATTACTTGGACAGGGCTGGCGATCGCCTACGTCTAGGGGAAGTAAATGTGATCCACGATGCCATTAGTGCTGATTTCCAGCCCAGTATCATCGCCTTGCTGTTCACTTCACTGTGGGATATGGAAAGTCTCCCGCCGCGGCAAGCACCGAGATACGGATGGTGGGAAGGCGACGAGACGCCCACGGACAGGCTCTGGCAGGACTATACCAAAAACCTAAATTGGGAGCTTTCCCGTGGATTCGATCCAGAGCGCAATATAGCGACGATGCTCAACAGCGACGCAAAGAGCAGCAGGGCGAGCTACATTGCCACCTTCTTCTACCTCGTCATGGCGGTCAATGACAGCGAAATGGATTGCGTCCTTACCGTGTGGCTGCTGGAACAGCTCATTGACGATGTTTGCGACAAGGAGGAGGAAATGATTGCCGGGACATTCAGTCGCAGCCTTTGGTTATGGAGCGTCCTGTTCGGAGCTGCTGTGGCTTACACGGGCAGACCAATTACCGCAACAGGCAGAGAGCAACTCGCGAGGTGGAGAGAGTTGTACGCTGCGAAATTGAGCTTGGCCAGCCACGTGCTGCAGCTCGACAGCTGGCACGACGCGAAGGCAGTCCTGGCGGAAGTTGCCTGGACTGACGGCTCAGATGCTGAGGGGAGATTACAAGACATATGGGAAGCAGCCGTCTTGCGTCGTACGGGCTCTGCACATTGCGTTCATGAAGTGGACGTGACGACGTGAGTGGCTGAAAGTCAAGAATAACACGGCTAGAAGATCTTCCAGCTTCCGAATCGGCATGCTCATTGCCCTCTAGCACCATTTCGACAGAAAGAGATACGTCTGTGCATATCTCCGTACATGACATCGCCGACTGCATGCCGGAGCAACGTTTTGTCGAGATCCGGTATCAAGTTTTCGGTGACCTGGAGGCTGGCGACCCTGGCTTGAGTCAGAAAGCCGGTACACCGAGATTTAGATCGGCGTTTTAGGTAGGGGATGATGCGCAGCAACACCCAATTTGTCGTAGCGCAGACGGGCGGCTTCATATCCGAAACTTGTTTTCCTTCCTTCTCACAGTGAAAAAACTAGCAGCTGAAGAAAGATCCACCGACTGGCATCTTTTGATCTCCGGTTCGTGTCGGCGACGGCGGCGAGGCGCAAGGGCAAGATCGCCATGATTGCCAATTGCCTCACGTTGTGTTAAAGGGGGATTTCGACTCGGCAGCATCTACCGAGGGACGAGCGTGACAGAGTTCAATGGTGTGGAAAGACGACTAGGATGAGCCGAGTAAAAGGGAAGCTGCCGAACGGGAGGTTGTAACTCTGCCGGTACGGATGGGTCAGCAGTGGATACTCATGTACTGATCATTATGCTTGAATATCAAGGACAATCACGTGCAAAAGTTGCGTCCAAGAGTTGTGAAGCCTTTGATGCAAAATGGTAGGAAAATGCTGGAGGGGGAAAAGTGAAGAAAGGAAGGAAGGTGGTTTCATCGTACACCTACCCTATTGTCCCGACACGAGGTATCTACTGATTGCAAGTACCGGTGATTAGACAATTAAGGTAAGATGGGTAGAAAGGCGGCAAGCTATGGCGCTGGTCTGGGGCTGCGGGTGGCTTGCGTCAAGCTAAGTGCCGTTTGTTTGTTTTATCCATACTGACGGGACGTTGTAGGTAGACGACTCTGAAAACGGAAAACGGACAGCGCTATCGCATGGCGCATCGTGGCTTCCCCAATGCCATGTGTCTTAGTCTTTGCTCCTACACTTGACCTTACCACCTTACATAAGAAACTCCATCTGAGAGTCTGGGACAGAAGGCAAGAACCTTGCACACACTCTCTCGATCTCGACTTCAAATGTCAACGCCTCGTCGTCTGCGTCCATCGCCAAGGTCTTTTCTCCATCCCATCGTCAATGCTCTCCGCTCGACGACGGGCGCTTCCGTCTCACGTCTCTCGCTGACCCCTCGTCCCGTATTCCGTGTCAACGTCAGCTCATTAGCCATTCCGCATTAAACTGCGTTGAACTGCCACACGCCAGTGGTTCCCCGCGTCTCAAGCTCATGCTGGCCTCAAAGTCAACAAGAGTCAAGAGCACCGGCTTCGTCGATTTCCAGCTCATCGGCGTCAGAGAAGACCGAGGTGGGGGGCCAAGAAGATGGAGCTGTTCAATGCAAACTCGACGGGAATCCGGAGAACGAAGTCAGAGACGACGTGGAGCGATTGCTGGTGATCGAGTCGAATGCTCGTGGATCGCATCAAACTACTCAAGATGCCGCTGTCGTTGCCGGTGCCGCTACCGTTACCGCTGCGCTCCATGATACGATCGAACATGACAAGTTGCACCATGTTATCAAGCCATCACAAGGCCACACGCTGCACGTTACTCATGCATCGTAATGCAGCAACATCAAAGGAGTCGCAAATGGTTGGTAAGGACCGCTTCCGCCAGAAGCAGGCCAGCTGGTAGACACCGAAAGACCGCATCGCGAAGCGCGTTTATGTGTCTTGCGGGCGTGATGCACTGCGTCGTTGCTTGTGGTGTGTGGCCGACTGACTGCGACCCGAGCCAGTGAGCATCGAACACGCCAAAATAGCTGCTGGCAGATTGTGCAAGTTGAGACGGAGACTGTCGGCCGGTGTGTGTCAGCCATTTGCGGCCCGCCAACCACGGCCACTGCTTCGTCAACGCGTGAGCCGGCGAAGTGCCTACACCAATGAAGCAGCCAACGACCAGGAGGAAGAGTAACACGAGGTTGACGGACAAACGGGCTGACAGTCCGGCCTTCCGCAGTTCCCGCTCGGCTGTGGTGCTACACTTGTCTGTTGTTAGTGTCGTGTGCGTCTTTTTCCACCCTCTCGCTCAGTTGCTCCGCCGCCGTCTGTCGCCTGGCTTCTTCTAGCGGCCGGCGGTGTCGATGCCACCTCGGCAAGCGTCGATTGATGCGCGTCAAAACATTGGTTCAAGATGGCGCCATGACTTTGATGCTCGAGACGGCTACTGGAAACGGGTTACGGGAGGCTATCACGTCTGTGCGAGGAGGGAAAGGGGGAAAGTCAAGGAACAGTCGGAACAAGAGCAACACATATGGATGGTTAGGATGAGCAAGTTCCGCTCCTGGTGCGAGTCGACGAGCTGCGCAGCCTTGTTTCTTTTCTCTGCGTCTTCTGGCCTACTCTTCTACCGCCGGGACGCTTGAGGTTTCTGCACGGATGTGTTGGTGCTGCAGCCATGATCCCTCCACGCTGCCGAGACGGACGAAATACTGGCAGCGCGATAGGCCAGGGACGTGACTAGTCTCCACCCGGGACCCAAGTTCAAGTCAGGAAAATCAAGGAAGCAAGACCAGTCACCGCCATCCTCGCTCGGAACGGGCCTATGACAGACGCAGACAGAATGAGGCCAGCTGGCTAGCGCCGTGTGTTAGCTCGAGTTTGACCTGCGGTCTTTCTGTGACGGCCAACACCAAGGCACATATTGGATACGACGAGGTCGGCGATTCGGCGGTGGACGCTGGCCGCATATCTGTCTGTTTCCAAGGCAGCCAGCAGAAGCTGAGAAGATGATGATGATGCTGCTGCTGCTGCTGCTGCTGCCGCCGCCAGGAGTCTAGACACTCTGGCCAGCAGCTGCCCACGACGCAAGACAGAGAGATGAGACTGGATGGGCTTGGAAATGAGTGGTGGACAAGATATTCCAAGATGTGATTGCTATTGCCTTGGCCTAGCATCCATCTGCAGAAACCAAGGGCGCCAATGCTTCGGAACAGGGGTTGTCTCTGGCCAGCAGAACATGGGCAGGGGGGGCCACGCATGTCGACGTGGTAGACAGCTCCACCCCCAATCCTCCCCTCCCGAGTCTGCCATGCCCGCAGCCCCTTGGATGCCTCCCTCACAGACCTCATCTCGTTCGCTCGTTTGTGCAAATGCCAGCAGAGACATGGCTTCGTCCCGCAACATTAAAACCCGCTGACCCCCTCTGTCCCTGCCCGACGTCTGCTTCTCTTCTTATCCTTTCAGCCCAACCCGCAACCTCATTCCTACCCAACTTCTTCTGCATTCTGCATCGCTGATCTCTGGCAACCCAACAAGCGCCAATATTGTCTTCTTCTACCCGCCTACATCCCTTCAGCCCTCAAACAAACGGTCAACCTGAGCTAAGAAAGATCAAAAAAGATCTTCCGCATCTTGCCACCCAAGGATTACCATACTCGACACCATCTCGACCAAAGCATTCCAAAGGAACGTCGCAAACAAGTGACCCGCTGTGTTTGCTCTTTTCTTTGGTATCTTCACACGACACAACTCAGCCGAGTTGATTCACATTGCCCTGGATTTGCATGACTACGCGACCCGAGGAATCAATGACTGCTCTTGTTGTTCCGCGCCCGGATATGCCTGGCTACAATTCTCTTGATTTGGACGACGTCCACACACCTTCTAGGTATTGTCTTTTCTTATTCTGTTCCCAGGGTGGTCCGTCGTCTTTTTAAGTCATGTACTGCAAGCTTCATGTACAGTTTCTTCGCGTCTCTACCAACCAGATCTTTCCCGCCGCGGAGGCATTCAAACTCAAAAGGATATATCGACCCATGGACTCTGGACTATTTTCTGCCTGGACACTTTCCGAAGGATCATTGCCCGGGACATACTTTCATTCCGCTGGACTACAGGAGACCGTAGTGCAGAGGCCTAGCCTCTTGCCTGTCGTGCCAGACGCGGTCATCAACAATATTTGATACTATTCTACCGGTGAGTACTGCCCGACAAGAGCAAACCCGAGACAATCAGCAAATTGGACTCCACTGGAATATTTCGCACCAAACAAACCTGGACAATACCTGGAAACCTTTTCCCCAATGGATATTCATGGATATGACCTACTGGGACCCATGGACGTCTCACCCGAGGCTATAGAGGCTGCCCCGCTTCGCATTTGGATGGACTTCCCTGGATACCTTCACCCAACGACAGTGGATATGCCGGTTCTACCGCTTTGTTACTGCCTTACTTCAGGCTTGACAATGACACATTTCGGCAAATAGACCCTGGACTATCACGGTGCTCCAGCACGCGTCGGCTTCTGTTCTCTCTGTTCATGGATTTTCGCTTTGACCATCTGCTTCGACTTGACATTACCTGGTCTACCTCCACAGCAGCACATCCTGACGGACGGGACTTGCTACTACGCTGTTTTCTGGAATATCACTCTTCAACACAACCGGCATCATTCATCATCTTGAGGTCTTGCACGACTGCTCACGCCTTGTGAGCCGACATGGGGACAACATCATCGCACCGAGGAAACTTGATCTCATCCTGAAGACTGCAACGCCGATACCGCATACTACCAAGGACTTCTATCTTCACGACTCTTGACCCTGAGGATCTCCGACCCATCTCTGTTACACACCTGGAACTTCACATGTCTGATCCGCGGATTCACACTGGACCATCTTCGCCATCTTTCCTCGGACTGTATTCTGGCATGATCATGTTGATCTGCGCTCGCTTGGTCTGTCAACTCATAACTCCGAACCTATGAGGCACAAGACCAGTCTGCTAACATGCTTGTACTACAGGAACAAAGTTGTACCATACTGAGATGTTTTCTTGTTTACTTGCTTTGCATTGCACACATGATTAGTGGAGAAACAGCACACTAACCCCCCCTTTCAGCGACTACAGCTTCTTCCACGCACAAATGGTGCCCTCAGGAATGTTTTCCTTTTCTTCTCAAACAGGACCATCGGACCCCTTGAGTGGTTCGTGGGAAACGACAGGAGAAGGTGCACAGAACTTTCAAGACTTCTCAGACAACGGATCTGCCCACCCGGGAGACTCCGAGGACTACTCATTCCAAGTTGATGGCCACATCACGCCCAGAGGACAGGGTCAAACTACCGAGGATTTGCAGAGCAAGTGGACTGCTCCCGCAACTGTTGGTAGCGAGCCCATGCGGAGAGGAACTTCGCGCAGCTCAGCAGGAAGCCGCAAGCACCGGATTTCCAAGGTCACATCTCCCAAGGCACGACCTACCAGAATGACTGCTGCTGCGTCAGCTCAAGTATCTGCTCAGCTGTCCTCCATGGACATCACAGGTAATGCCACGGTCTACGGACCTCAGCCCAGCGCCCAAATGATGGACGTGAACCCCTACTTCCTGGACACGGATACGAGCGCCGTCTCGTCCCAATGGTTTAACTCGATGGAGCTCGGCATGATGCCCGATGGCCTGCCCTCAGGCGAGCTGAACATGCACGTTGTGCCTGCTCAGATGCAGCTTGACCCGGACTCGAGCTTGGGTGCTCACTCTCCTTCTGCCTCCTGGAACTCCTTCAGCCCTACAGAGTCGCACCTGTCCTCGCCGGCTGGAAGCACTGAGGACTCGTGGCTGTCCGCCCCTCTCATGTCTTCGCCGTCACACTCGGAGCACGTCTCCCCCATTATTCAAAGCCAGTCTCCAAGGTATGTTCCTCAGATCAGCTGCTCTAGTCTAGAGTCAGCCTCTGACGAGACACTCTTGTACAGCGCCAACGGGAAGTTCATGAGCGACGAGCTCGCTGGAAGCGTCCTTACCATCGTCGGCGATGCCGCACTGCCCCCTGCTTTCCCCAGCCGCCGGCCTACCAACGAGGGTGACACCGCCCGGGACCACCCTTTGTACAAGAACGCGACCCCGCAAGCCGATGGCTTGTTCCACTGCCCATGGGAAGGAGAAACCAGCTGCAACCACAAGCCCGAGAAGCTCAAGTGCAACTATGAGTAAGTCGGCCTTTGTCCTCGTCTCCACACCCGTCCCGTCCCCCGAGACTAACCACCCCCTTCTTGTGCAGCAAGTTCGTGGACTCCCACTTGAAGCCCTACCGCTGCAAGATTGACTCTTGCGAGAATGCCCGTTTCTCCTCCACTGCCTGCCTGCTCCGCCATGAGCGTGAGGCTCATGCCATGCACGGCCACGGCGATAAGCCCTTCCTGTGCTCCTATGAGGGATGCGACCGTGCCATGCCCGGCAATGGATTCCCGCGCCAGTGGAACCTGAAGGACCACATGCGCCGTGTTCACAATGACAACGGCGTTCCTGGATCCCCTACCAGCGTCAGCAACGGACAGCAGAGCTCCAAGGGCCGTAAGCGCAAGGATGCGCCCAAGGCCGCCACCGTCGGACCCGCACCACCCTCCCGCAAGGTCACCGCCAAGGCGGCCGTCGTGGAGGCTGCTGTCAAGGAGGAGCCTTCCTCCAAGCCCCTTATCGAGGAGTGGATGGCCCACCGCCAGGCTCTTGAGAACATCATTCGTGACCTCAACCAGCCCGAGGACATGAAGAACTCGCAGCTCATCAAGGATGCCCACAGCCTCCTGTCCGCCATGGGCAAGATCGGACACAACCTTACCGCTCAACCCATGGACGCCAAGGTCCCCTTCCACGGAAACTACGCCCACGCTGGATGAATACCTACTTTTGGTCCGTAAAAGCCCACTCTACACCATCGATAAAAAAGACTTCCCACTGACTAGTCATTGCTTGCAGAACTTGACTACACCAGTCACAGAATGTTACCAGCCCTGAATGCAAGCGCATCAGGTACCGTCGACTACAACTCGATCCTCTAAATTGTGGACGTTGTATGTTGCCGGGGAACCATCACGCTATCACGAGGTCTTCGTGTCGTAATGAGCTTCTCTCACACTGGATAAATCCACACCTCTGGATGGATACACATCGTATGCCGCCCGGCAATGGATACCTAGGATTGAAGTCAACGGACACCGCAAGGAGTACCCAAAGAGCCAACAAAATGCGCTCTAGCGAAAGGCCGCGCCGCCCCCGCGCCGCGGTCAGATGGAGGAAGTGCGATTGCGATGCAAGGGAAGGCACACTGTTTTGATTTACGCACGATGGAATTATTAGAAGAGGGTACATGTAAGAGCTCACGCTCGACACACAACAGAACTTGTATTTGTTTTTGGAACTGGATTTTGGAGAAGACCCTCACAGCGCGAGGCTCCGCCACAACTGTGGCAAGTTACAGACTCGATCGAAATGGACCAACAGCAACTGGAATTAGATTATTTGAGTAGATAGGTGACGAAGAAGGAAATTAGTTAAAAAATAAGAAAATGGTGCTGAAACTCTGTGGTTCCCTAGTCACGTTGACTGAATATGATTGAAGTGCACTGGAGTTGTCGTTCACAGCAGAGTGCGTACTAAGACTTGTCTAGGGACGGTCGACAGAACACATTTCCAGCTGCGAGATACGGAAGCATCCTTATGGTGTCCCTAGGATCTAATGGCGGCCAGTCCAGCTCGACTGAATGTGCATCTTAATACCGTGACTACAGCGTGACCAAGTATTCAACTGTCACACAAAATGGTTAAAAGGATCAGAACACAAGTTGAGTGTAGCGAACTCCGGTCTTGGCTTCATCTGGTACGTTTAGATCTATGCCTCGTTGCCTTTTTTTACGATTTCCCCTCTTCAACCCATCCTTTTCCCCTTCTCTCATCTCTCTCTGTACAACTGCTCCATATCTTTGGGGGGTCTGAAGCGTAGACCGATGATGTGTCGAACCCTTCTACAGTATCCACGACCAAGGCCTGGAAAGATACGACGCGCGGTCGATGGGCTGGAATCAACGAAGTCTACTTTTCCCTGTGAGGTATCATAACGTTCACCCACGTCTTGCACATGGTTCCCGAGATCATGGCTCGAGGGTGCGATCTTCTGGCTTTGGGGTGTGATCACGATTTGCTTGGAAGGGATTGGTGGATAGTGTTGATGAAGAGGGGCTTATCGGGGGTATATCACCGGCGTGCTGATGGAATCGAGATTCTTTATGGAGCGGATGACATCAGGGTCGACATGAGATCTCCCGAATGGAATTGGAGAACGTCTTTGCTCAACAGTGATAGAAGAGTCGATGACAGATGTGAGCTGTCCCCGCTTATGACCCCTCGATAGGATATGGCCAGGGGCAAGTAACCTTGCAAAGGGACGGGACAACGAGGGAGAGTTGGCATGGAGGAGGAGAGCTGGGATTGACAAGGTCTATACGCATCCTGCGTTATCGACGGGGTTTCTTCCAGGGGAGTAACGCGCGGGTGTAGGGTTAAATAACCTTTTTCTCTACATTTACTCTCTGGATCTGGTGGAGGCGTGGTGGTCTCCCGCTCTGGAGACGTGATCGTGATTTTGCATGGAGACGGTCTGTACACATAACCTCGCGGTAAGAGAAAAAGATGGGATTTTTCAATTTTTTTTTCTAGCTAGCCGACAATAGCTGGCGCGCAGGTAGGGGTCGTGATAGTCTCTTGGGAACGAAGGAGTATGTCGGCTATTGAATACTTCGCCGTGATGGGATGAGGATTAAGGAGGTTTAGTTTATAGCAAGGTTGGTGATGTGAGTATAGATTCCGACTGTAGGGCTCGGCTAACACGAGAGCTTCTTTCTAACAATGGGTATGTTACGATCGTCGTAGCTCTCTTAGATATGATGGGCACATGATGTATCCAGTCTGGGAATCCCTGCTTTGACATGTACAAGATTTCCCTAACACAGGAAACTCCCAGACTGTGACGATACGATGGAAAAAAGCCAGAGAAGTTGCTCGAGCAACGAAACTGAGCATGCTAAATGGCTTGCAAGAACACCGACTGCGCAGTGAGCCCCTGAAGCCGATCTGGACGTGAACGCCACATCATTTACAGGGGATCGTGAACATTAGACAAGAATTGGATGATGATCGGACTATCAAGTCGAGATTGAGAGGGGAATCTAGGCACACGCGTGGGCGGGTGGGATGATGTGTGTACGGGAAACGAGTCTGATGTTGTGGCGACAAGGAGAAACAGGGAGAGAAAAGCACACAGGAGCGGGAAGAGCATGCCCGCGCATAAAGAAGGGACGAGGGCGGACGAGGATGGATGAGGACGAACAAAAGGCTTTCTGAGGGGTGTGTGTTTCTCGTGATTGCTAAATGTTGCGCAACACAATAGACCTCGGAGTTCCAGATATTCAGGAAGAAAAAGGCCGAAGAGGCGAGTCCAGGGTTCAAGCGCGCGGAAGAGACTTCTCGCAACAGGCGACGATCATCAGTCTGATCACCAGATGAATTTTCAATGTGGTCACTGCCTTCGTCCCCCCTTTTACTTAATGATATGCCATTATAGCCTTTTGACCAGCTTACCATAGCTTACTTCTGGTCTTGAGTCTACCTAGACTCCGTTTGATCGGCCTTGCGCGCATGGTGTTTGGCTATGTGTATGAGAGAGCGAGAGTGTAAGCCACAGCTTTGGAAAAGTATGAAAGTGTGAGTGAAGTCGGTACGGACTTCCTGTAAAGGGGTAAAGGAGCTTACAGGATTGTTACTCGCCCATGCAAAAAAGGACGCGACTATCAACTAGATCGCCTTCGGTCGAACACGAATAGCCCCCTTCCTTTCGCGATGACTAGCGTTTGATTTAGAGATTCACTTTTCCACCATCTCTAGAGATCGTCACCTCGTTCTTCCTTCTCCTTCTGCTCCCCTAGGCCGTGCGCGACAGAACTATGCGGCTGGTAAGAACAAGAAAAAGGAAGGAGGATAGACTTTCACGTAAGGGAGGGGGGAAAGCGACCATGGCGTCGAAGGCTTGTGCAGCCTGCCACGTGGAGGTGGACTGATGGAGGATGTGGGAATTTGCAAGGTCGCACTTTGCAGTGAGACGTTGACGGGCATTCTATGAGCGATGCTGCGATAGTATGCAGGTATTCTTTGTCCCTTTCTGTGTGGCACAGCTTATCTGTAAGTGGCATGTCCTGGTCAATGGCGAGGGGCGGGACGGTCATCGCCGACGAAAGGGACCATTTTGAATTTGAACGGGAATGTATGCACGTGAGGGGTCTCTATCGAGGCGGCCGTCGCGGGAAGGACAACTTACCATTGGGGGTGAGGACGGCCAAGAAAATCATGCTTGCCCAGGAACAAAAGTCGGGGTAATGAGAGTGAGAGAAGGGCAGGACCGCATGATGATCAGCGGCAGCCTCGATAGACGCAAGTGATGAGCTGATGATATGGTCAGCGGACAAGACGGCAGCGAGAGTTTGTGCCCTTTACGCTTCGGCGGCCGCCTTCGGGAACGGTGCCGAGGAGGAGGAGGGGGGAAGTGAGACGCTTCTGTTCTGTAAGAAACGGAAAGTGAATGGACGATGCTTGGGCCAATCAGAATCCCATTCCCGGTGGCCGTCTGGACCAAGCCGGGACGAAAGTTCACCTTGTTCAACAAAAGGGATGGGCGAGAGCTGACTGAGAGTTTTGTACAAAAAATGAGATGGGAGGCAAATGGGCAGATGGCGGTGTTGTTGGCACGGCGAAGGCAAACAGGGAAGAAGTCTGAATTACTAGTCATTGACCTCGTTGACTAAAGCTCGGGTCTGGCTCCCGAGAAGCTTAAATAGGTAAGAAACTATAAACATGGCCGTAAAGGGAAGTGAAATGCAGGAACTGATGTCCTGAGGGTGTATCGTAAAACTCTTTGAGCAAGCATTCTTTAGCCGCCCCTCCCTGGTCTTTTACCTCAAAAGAAACAACAATGGATATTCCCGTCTGCAAGGTTTATACACAATGTACAAGCTTTTTGGGCCCGTCAATTAGCCCCCGAATGTACCGACAGATCCCGATTTCGCGTGTTTCCGCAGAGGCGCGGGTACGGCGGTGTAACTGCTGCGGTCGTATGTGCCATAGCGAATCCCTGCCTCCAGGTCGTCGATGCTCTGGCGGATGCTCTCACGATAGACAACGTCGTCAACTTCGTAAAGGATCTGACTATGACGACTGCTTTCGCCCGACGCATTGGTAAGGTGGCTGTCAGGCCGGCCGTCTTCAGCACTGAAGCTGGGCCGGTGCTGACTTGAGGGCTCTGAGTTGCTCCTCATGTGTTGAATCTTTGGACGGCTGAAATTATTGACGGCTTGGCGCCGGGCCATTTCCGACTTTTCCGTCGTTCGACCCCTCGGAGCCCTTCTCCTGTCGGGAGACCTATCCGCGGGGCCTAGACTGGCTTCGTCCAGTTGGATGTTGATAGTGTAGACTGATTGATTCTTCATCACTGCCGGTAACGGCTTGTTGAGCGTCCCTTCACTAAACCTTTTGGTTGCAGGGGACTTTGAGGGAATTACGTCGAGCTCCTTCACTGTAGGCTCGTTTGACATCTGGCTGGTTCTTGCCGAACCGGTGGTGGCCTTGTCGGTAGGTACTGGCTCCGTTGTCGCGCGAGTTTTGCGTGCGTTGGTGCCGAGGAACTTGGGAAGGTATTTGTTGAAGAATGGCTTTGTAGAGGGAATACTGGTGCAAATGATGCCGAGAAATAGCTCAAGGCAAGATACAAGCCAGTTGATCCAGGCGTTCCATGTGGCGTCGGGCTCCGTAGTCATGATCCAGGTGAAGTATGTGCGAGCAACACCGGCAAAGCATGCGAGGAATCCGGCACCAAATAAGAGGTTGACAATGGTAAGTTGTCTTGAGGTGAGCTTGTCGGCGTATACAATACGTACGAGGGCGAGGGGTAAGAGAACCACCAGGAAGTCCGTGACGGTATTGATGGTTCCGGCAACGAGAAGATGGGTGGATTCGTTGATGCAGTTCTGCGGCTCCAACGAGAGAGTCCAATAGAGCTTGAGAGGCCTTGGATACGTCAGTACTGCGCGTCTTTCACCATCGACGGAGAACTTACCGGCACTGCAACATAGCTACCAACATAAAGACGATGCAGTTGACGGAGATTAGCACCTGTAGTGCTACTACGAGCACTCTCAACTTATTCGATGCTGCACACGCGATTCTGTACATCAGAGCCAACATGGATAACTTGGTGAAGCTTGTTGCCAAGTCGAACAGGATCTGGCTGGCGAGGCCGATTTGAAGTGATCCCGTAATAGTTTCGGTAGGCACATCCCAGACATGCCGCCCCCAGCCATAGCTGTTCGTAGCTATGACTCCAAGCACCACGAAGCCCGTGGCTGGAATAAAGGCCAGCACGACGAGAATGTCGTCCCAGCCGAACCCATTAGTGATACATCGTCGTGTATAGATCCGGATGGAGAGGATGACAGTGGCGATGGCCAGTAGGATGATGGCAACGATCTCGTTGGCCGGGCCTCTCGTTACTGGATTGACGAAGTTCGGGGTCGGCCAACTGAGAATGACTTCTACAGGCGGGATTCTCATATCGTAGATGGCGTGAACATCATGGAGAACGGGGAGTTGGCCACGACTATTGCTAAGAAGCGGAGGTGTAGGAGAAGTTTGGGGAGTATCTCCTCCTTATTCCTTCCCTATGCGGCGTCCAAGGTGGTCCGAGTACACGCGGGGACGAAGAGGACACTGGACGAGGGGGGATGGGCAAATCGAATGGATGGGCAAAAAGACGTTTTTTTCAGCGGTGGTGACCGTGCTTGAGCCTAATCAACGGATGAAGGCAATGGCAAAGCATAACTCTGCTTGTGACATCAAGATGGTGATGCGAGCCCCGGCCAATATATCCTTTCGGTCTCGATGGTGGCCATCCCATCCCTGGCACGGCACTGCGGGGAGGGGGGGGGGGAGTGGTGCGAGGAGTGAGTGTTGGCGAGACATTCTCAAGGCCGCACTGACGGCTTGAACCGGGGTTCTCATGAGGAACTGGTGGTGTCGTGTCGTGTTGTCTCTCTCAGTGTCCATTGGATATCCACGGGGCGGTGCTGAAAAGGGAACGATGGATGCTACTCCGTTGATCCCACGGCATCTTGGCCGGTTGCAAGTCTGTGTGAAAGAAGCCGGGAAGGCAGTAGACTTCGGCGCCTTGCTTCTTTGCGTAAGTCATCTTCTGCGGCACCGTCGCATCGCTTCTCTAGAGCCGTTATGGGAGAGAACGTCTCCCAGCCCTATTGTTGGTTTTGCAGCTGGGGTGACAAGCCCGTTTCTCCGGCTAAGGAGGCTCAACAGCAGACTAGGCCGTTTGACGCGGCAGACCCAGGCTCAGAAACCGGGGTCATTTGCCGCTAACGCAGCGGAACCAGTTTGAAGCTACCGAGACAGCTTTCACTTCTAGGTGTCAACAGTGTCAGAATCCTTTCATGATCGTCAGCGTCATGCGCCAGGCCTGCGATCATGAGCATGACATGTCAAGGGAAGCTGTCAGGTTATTTGACAGAACGGGTTGGCCGCTGGCAGCTTCATTCGAGCGGTAAGGTGCTTGTTGGTGAGAGCATTCAAACTCAGAAACCGGCCCTGGTCTGAATATCATCATGATGGTGGAGGTGGGCGGCCGGTGGACGTAGCGGAAAGCAGGCTGAAGGTGGGGAAGACAATGTGTTCCTGGATGAGGATCAGAAATGTTTGCATCCAGGATCTGGATTGGCGAGTTGTCTTCGAAGCCGCGCCGCCTTCTCGTTTCTCTTTGGTTACTGTGGTAGAGAACTGTTTGGAGCTTGGCAGGACGCACGGGTTTTGGGTTCGTCATGGCGCATTGACGACCGGGCGAGGGCATGATAAAACCGTACGTGTCAGAGGGTGTTGGACGCCATAGGCCCCAATTCGATTCTCGCCTGTTCGACCTCGACATCCTGGACAGGTCTCTTAATACGGCTAGAGGCAGGTCATCGTGTTCCCAGAGGCTATGCTGCAAGGCCCCCGTGATGCGGCCGCTCTCTGATATGGTAGTCTTGGCCTGTCAGGTTCCGGTCCCTATCACATCGGATCTGGGCGTTCCCATGACTGGTGGCGCCCCAATGCTACCTTGTCTAACGAACAGCGGATGCCAGGGTACGCATGTCATCAAGCGAAGAGGCGGCTTCATATGTAAGAGGATGGAATAGGATGGCGTACTTTGACGTGAAGTCGTTAGCTGGCAAGGAGTTGACAGCAGGTGTTAGTTGGAAGATGCGGCTTCCATTCGGTTCTTGAGCCATGACATGCTGCCCCACACCACGAATGATCTTAGTCATCAGCCAGACGACACCTTTCAAGTCACACTCAGCAACTCATATCACAAGGCCGATTTCAACAGCTCTACTATCCATTGCCTCTGGGTTCGTCAATCCCGCCACACTCAATGAAACGAACCAGTACTGTTATCTGGATGTCATATTGCTTCTTCTTGCAGCCACCACGCGCAATAGCTGGGTGGCCAGATTGCTATTTCTGAGCCGTTTCCGAACCACCCCTCGTACGCTGCTGTTTCAACCGGCACACGATGATTGGGGCCCTGGAAGGTTGGCAGCGAATGATGTCGCGAGCGCACAGCTCGGTCCCGGTGTTCCTGTCATTAGCGGGCGACGGAGAAAAAAGTCTTCAGCCCTCTCTCCCTCCCGCCCGTCGAGAGCAACCCTCCGTGAAGCCAAGTTCCCCGGTCTGGATCATGGCTGGTGAAGATGCGATTGGGCCCTGAGATCAGGCCGGGGCTGTCAACCCCACGTGTGTCCGGCCTGCCATCAGCTGCGCCTCCCGGGGGCTGCCCCTTACGTGACCGACTCAATCATAACGACACTTGACATGGGTTCATTATACCGCCTGGAGTGCTCACCTATTGTGCGCGAAAACGGGTAGATGACGGGTTCTAGACGGCACTGGACTTCTAGAATGCCCAGGCGTCTCGTATGACAGATTGTGAGAAGACATTGTGTTTCTGACGGGGACTCGCGATATTCATGCCGCCTAGCGCGTGTTCGTGAAACGTCGGAAGCATGCTGGAGAGGATGACTCTTGGCAAGACCATCACATCTCAAGTACAGTGTGCTCTATGATATAGCTCGCTCATTCTTGCACCTTACTATGTGCCACCAAAGTGCCATCCGTCTCCCATGTCAGAGGTCACCAGTCTGGTTTAGACTCGTCTAATTCACAGAAGCTATCTATCTCTTCAACCGCGTGGTATCGGTTCTTTTGCGCCTCGCTGCATCTATTCGAGTTGAAAATGGTTTCACCGTACTCGAAGAGTTCGAGGTTTAGCTCATGATTGCACAGAACAGCCCGAAAGGGGCGCCGGCATAGCAATAGATAGATGAGGCGAGGGCATATGCCGAAGCTAGCACTAGACGAAAGCTGAGAGAGAAGGCTCCTGTCTGAGGAGCCTGATACGGAGGCGTATGAATCCATTACGGAGCTCGGTGATCGGCTTACACAGCTTTAGATCTGGAAATCGTCTCTTCCATCTGCAAACTCCACGTCAATCCTACTTCGATGCTGTTCCAATGAATATGAACGCTGCATTACTAGCAGCATTGACCGCTTACTTGCGTAGACGTCAGAAAAGACGGTGAAAGAGGGCTAGGTTGGTCTAACAAGTAGTGAAAGACTTCCTTCTCATGGAGTTCCTTTTTGGTACGGCGCAATCGAATGCGACGATGTCTTACAACAGAGACGAATTAATCAGCACTCCGCGAAGACACCACGACGTTGCCAGGATCTGGGAAGGTCCGAGCTGAAGTGGTTCTGGCTAGATGAAGGGATTCTCAATGAGCGCGACGCAAGGAAGTTGAGCACGGCCAACTTCACAGACCGGATCATGCTCCCTTGCCAAGTTTTCTCCCCTCTCATGTCAGGATGCCATCCGGAAACGAAGATCATAAGTCAGGGCAAGTCGACCAAGGCGATCCGTGCTCTGCACGGGATGCTGCATGGACAAGACAATCAAATTTGCAGATTTGTCGATTGGCGACCTTCACTGGGGCTGCGGGTACAGATCATGAATTTGGCATTAGACGAGAAACTGACTAGGACTTACCACATCTCCCGGCCCAGTGGCCTTGGAGCATGTTGAATCGTGATTGTGAAATATCTGAGACGGCGTCGCGTAGCTTTGCTTTTGATGCTCCGGATCGAAGACGCCAGACTCGCGGTCTCGAGACAGCGAAGAGATTGGGGTGCTTTAACAGCGAGGACTTACGTGTGGAACTGGTAATTGTTATTCGTTTTTTGGTGAGAAGCTAAAACATCGCAGACTTGATTAGACGAAGGGATGGTGAGTGCCGAGATTAAGGAGATATGATTATTGAGACATTATACAGGGCATGCGTTCTCAGACTTCAGTCTACTTCAGTCTAAACTTGCCATACGATGTGTTTCTCACCAAACAAAATAGAGCAAGCAAGCTTGCTGCCCGGGCATATCGTGAGCCGGAGCGATTGTGAATAATTTTCGTTGACGAGCCGACATTGCGTCCAACCGAGATGTCTGCCACTTTGCTTTGCCGGGGCTAATAAGAGACGGAGCTCAAGTAGCCGTCGATTCGGAAGAAACAGGGTTCGTGAACAGGTTGGCCGAGGTCTTTACTTCACAGAAATCTGGCGGATGCATCGTTGGCTCTTTTGGTGCAACATTGACGCCTCAATGGACAGCCTGTATCAATGCAAGTTCACCGAAGCAGGATAGGTCCGGGGTCGTCAATCTCAAGTCGTTCATGAAGAAACATCTTTGGCTGGCTCTTACTCTACAATGACGGGTTGTACATACTAAACTACACACTATCTTTGCTGACTTACGCGGTCAAGGTAGCCGTCGTTCTCTGCTGCTATTCACCTGGGAGCTAGCGGGCATCCGATTGGCTTATCAAATGAGAGACTCGGCGACCCTGGGGATGAAAGGAAGAGAACGGTCCGACTGGGCACGAAAACTGTTGAGGGGCGGTCGATGTTGGAGGATGGTCTCAGCCCACGGTAGACGGACGCTCAGGTCACTTGGGCAACTTTGGATGCTGCAGTGAGGTTGAGTGCGGGGCAGCTGCAGGCTCCGGGTCAGACCGGGGGCCGCTGGGGACCCCACCAGAACTGCTGATTGTGTGCTGTCAGCCTGCTGCTGTTGCTGCCATGGGCTCGGCCTGCCAGCGGCGGCACTCTGGCGGCACTCTCGAGGTGGGCAGCTGTGGTACCAGTTGCCCCTCCTGCGCAGCCCCTCTGCCCCTCCATGAGACAAGCGCAGCCCACCTTGCACTGGAGCTTTTGACGTGACCCAACCCTGAGGTCTTTTCCATGACTACGAAGCTCTCCGAATCTATCCTGCGTCATTTACACCCAAGACTTTGATCTGATCTTTCACTCCTGACGGAAACGCAGACGTATCCAATCCTATCAAACCTCCCACGTATCACCAAATCACCACCAATTGCCCAGCATGGCTCGCAAGTTCTTCGTCGGCGGCAACTTCAAGATGTAAGTTTCGTCCCATTGGCGGGGTCGACGATCTCTGCACCACCCTACCGGAGAGGGGCAGCCTGGAAGCTGCGGCTTCAGCCAAAACATCGTGAGACTAATGACCATCGGCCTTGTAGGAACGGATCTGTTTCCGCCATCAAGGAGATTGTCCAGAACCTGAATAACGCTACCCTCGACTCCAACACCGGTACGTGCCATGTCTTTGCAGTCCTGTCCCGCCGTTGAGCTTCTCTGACAGTCTGCAGAGGTCGTCGTCTCCCCTCCTGCCATCTACCTCCAGCTCGTCCGCGACCAGCTCCGCAAGGACGTCGAGGTGGCCGCCCAGAACGTCTTCGACAAGCCCAACGGTGCCTTCACCGGCGAGATCAGCGTCTCCCAGCTCAAGGACAGCAACATCAACTGGGCCATCCTCGGCCACTCTGAGCGCCGCACCATCCTCCGCGAGTCCGACGAGGTCGTTGCCTCCAAGACCAAGTACGCCACTGAGAACGGCGTCGGCGCCATCTGGTGCTGCGGTGAGAGCCTCGAGGAGCGCGAGGCCGGCACCACCGTCGAGGTCGTCAGCAAGCAGCTTGCTGCCCTCAAGGCCGCCATCTCCGACTGGTCCAAGGTCGTCATTGCCTACGAGCCCATCTGGGCCATCGGCACTGGCAAGGTCGCCACCAACGACCAGGCCCAGGAGGTTCACGCCGCCATCCGCGCCTGGCTCAAGAAGGAGGTCAGCGACAAGGTTGCCGACGAGACCCGCATCCTCTACGGCGGCAGTGTCAACGAGAAGAACTGCAAGGACCTCGCCAAGGAGAAGGATATTGACGGTTTCTTGGTCGGCGGTGCCTCCCTGAAGCCTGGCTGTGAGTATTTTCGGTGCACCATCATCATGGACGGACAGCTAACATGGCACAGTCGTCGACATTGTCAACGCCAAGCAGTAAACAAGCCAGATTACAAACTTGATGATGATGACCTAAAATCAGGCCGTGATGGGCCGGGATAGACCTAGGATGACCCCCAAGTGACCATTCGTAGTCGCCAACTCCTAGGGCCGTAGACTTGAATAAAAGAATTATACCCCCCTCCCCAATCTTCTGAAGGTGGTTAGACCTGGTGAAATGTTTGTGATTCTTGAATTTCGAGTTCTTAAAGGGGTACCCTTTGCCCTCCCTGACGGGTCAATGTATGGTACACGCGGCAAAGAAGCTCCCGCTTTCGTCCTGTACACGCCTAGTTCCTTTCGTAATTTTACACGTTTTTCCAAATCGATACGCTCGTGCCTCTCATATTTATACAGCCATGCCATTTCCGTGGTAAGGACTCCAGACACCTCTGACACTGGGGTTGATACTGTTGACCGGCTTGTTGACCCTCTTCAATTTCTCTCCGTTGGCGTCGCGCAGAAGCTCAGCCTTTTTCAAGATCTCGATTGGCTCCATATTCCGAACGCAAATGGCCTTCTCGCGGCCGTTGATGTAGTGGCCGACAATGATGGGGTGTTTCGACGGACGGGGCGATACGGTGAACTCGACTTGGGGGTTTGCGGCGGCGAACTTGGGAAGCTGAGACTTGATGAAGCCGCTGGGTGACCGTTAGCAATGTTCTCGATAGTCTCCTTCTGAGGGCGGATTGCCGTACTTCATTCCCTTGGAGCTGCCGGCCCAGTCGCAGTAGTGAAAGTCCAGCTTCTTGCACTGGAGGATGAAAGAGCCCAGGCCATTCTGTAAGGACGTCAGCAATGGGTTTACAGTATGTTCGTCTCCCGAGGAACTTACACGGCCGGTAGACACCGTCTTCAATGCTCTGATCGTCATGGTATCCTGCTTGGCGCACAGAATCTGGTTCGCAGTCTGGATCACGAGAGGCTCCTTTCCAGGGACGGGGAAATTTCTTAGCGCGAAAACGTAGGATGCAGCCTGAGGTGACAGCCTCCGGAGGTACGTACCTGCCTCGAAGCTCCCGTCTGTGACCAGGATGGCTCGGCTAAACCGCGGCGATTGGCCAAAGGCAGGCTGCGCTACAAACTTTCCCATGCTCGTGTCAATTTCATTCCCTTTACTCTGACGACGCGCCTGCTCCCTTTCCAAATCCCGACATCCCACCAAGCTCCGTCGATGCATCATTAGCTACGGCGTGACGCATCCTATCCGAGTCGACAAACATTTCTTGAATCGGGAATTTGACGAAGAGCAACTACAGCGATGACGGATAAGCTCCCTCCTAACCTGTTGGCGCTCTTCGCGCCGCGCCCTCCTCTGCGATGGGTTGCGCCGCCCGACCATGCGCCCGAGGCCCGACGAACTCTCCCCGTCTCTGGACTCGCCGAATTCCTTCCCGCGCTCCAGCAATACAAGGAAGAGGACGACTACAAGCCGACGGAAAGTTGGCTTCAGATGCGCGACCGCAAGAAGCTTGAGAAGCAGGCAGCTGTTGAGAAGCTCAAAACCGAGGGGCCGAAGGACTGTTAGTTCTGCCAGTATTTATCCATCGAGAGTCTATGCTGATGTTTTCGCGATCTAGTTAAGCCGCACGAGGATCCCAACATTCGTGGCGACGCTTTCAAGACGCTCATTGTTGCGCGACTCTCGTACGAGGCAAATGAGCAAGACCTCGAGAGAGAGTTTGGTCGATTCGGCCCCATTGAGCGCGTACGTACTCCCGAATACCTTTCCACACTTTGCATCGAGCTAATATTTGTACAGATTCGCATCATCACTGACACGCATGCCCATGAGAGACCCAAGAAGAAGAAGAAGCCCCACCGAGGATACGCTTTTGTAGTATTTGAACGAGAGAAAGACATGAGAGGTAATACCGCCGAACCCACCCCCTCCGACAAGACTCGGCTTGTCTGCCAGTCGTTCCCCTTCAGACGTGCGGCCCTCAAGCTTGCCCACGTTCTGCACTTCACACCGAGATCTGTGGCCCTCAAGCTTGCCCGTCTCAAATCTTGTTTTTCCTTCTTTTTACCCAGTCACGATGCAAAGGTATGATATCGTCAAGGTTTTACTGACACACGCGCCTTGGCGCACTGGTGAGTAGCTGCTCTAGATGCCTGCGATGGTATTCGAATCAAAGACCGACGTATCAAGGTAGACGTCGAGAGGGGCCGCACCGTCAAGGGCTGGGTGCCCCGCCGATTTGGCGGTGGCCTCGGTGGCAGAGGTTACACCAAGGCTCTTCCTGCCCGTCCCATGGGTGGCGGACCTGGTGGCAACTTTGGCGGTGGCTTCCGAGGCGGTTTCCGTGGCGGCTTCGAGGGAGGTCGCGGACGTGGAGGCTTCAGGGGAGGCGGTGGAGGTTTCGGTGGTCGTGGTGGCTTCCGCGGCGGCGGCGACTTCGGCTCCAGGGGTGGTGACCGCGGACCGAACGGATACGGCGCACCCAGAGACGCCCCTTCAGGACCTGGTCGCGGCTTCGGAGGCGATCGTGGTGACCGAGGCGACCGCAGCTTCTCCGGCGGTGGGTATGACCGTGGTGGTGGCCGCTCATATGACGACAGATCCGGTGGCGGTGGCGGCGGCGGCGGCTACCGCGATGGAGGCCGCTTTGGTGATCGGGACCGTGACGGTGGCCGACGGACTGGAAGCAACATGGAACCCATCAGGCCTAGAGGGGAAGGTGGGTATCGCGACCGTGGTGACCGCGGAGACCGAGGCGACAGAGAGGACCGGGACCGCGGCCGAGACAGAGACAGAGATTACGACCGACCTCGTGAAGACGACAGTAGAAAACGCGGCTACGAGGGCGGTGGCTACGAGGATCCTCGCAAGTTGCGTCGTTACTGACGAGACACCTAGTGTCTTGCGGTGGGTGACGACTAGCTCGTCTCTTCTTTCCGTCTCTTTTCTTCTTCCCCTTCTCTCTCGAGGGTAAGCAGAAGGTTTCAAGCGCGAATTTCGAGTACCTCCATATTCGGACCAAAGAGAACTCGGACAAAGCTCGGATGCAAGCTTGGGGCAAGTATACGCAATTACCAGGCAGGCCAGCAGTGTTCACAACAAATCATCACACGAACCACCAACTTCCAAAGAACTGATTCGGCATCTTGTTGAAGGTAAACCTCGCCACGTGCATACACAACCTGCCCAGGCTACGACTGCCGTAACAAGGAACTCCGACAACGGCTCGATGCTGCAGGTAAGGTCAGAGGTAAGGGACTCTGTGCCTACTGACCTGGAGCTTAGTGAAGGAGGATTCGTACCGGGAAACAATCAAAAAGGATGGGGAAAATCCACATGTACCACGTTATAATTACTTGTACCAATAGGTGAGGACTTTTAGTTTCTTACGCAGACAGATCAGACGTCGTATCCGTACTTCAGCTTCCTATCATCCGGCTGCTCGAGTTGTATCCAGTCGTTGCCGAGAGTGCATGTCAACGTCCCAGGATTCCTATGTGTTTTAAAGAGGCTGCTTCCTCAATAGACGGGAAAGGAAAAAAGGGCCGGCCTAACAAAAGGTTGTCTCGAACTGGGGATCTCTCGAATTCTGAGAGTATTCCATCCGTTATATAGGTACCTCTGCGCGCGAGCGTGTCATGGCAATTTGGCAGGCACCAAACTTTATATGATGAAAGATGCCCAAAAAAACGAACTACCCACGGCATTTTTCAGAGCCAGCCCGGCCTGCTCCTGGCCAATCTGAATGGAAAGGAACAGTCAAACCTTTCGGCTATCGACTACAACGGATGATGCTCGTTGGGGAAGCTCTGCACTTTTGCTCCCTAACAAGGTTCGACGTCCATCCACAACTTTTTTGCTTCCATGTCATTTCACCTCCGTCAAGGATGACAGAAGGAAAAGCCTGTTTTTAGTGGAAGAGATTGATGCTTTGACGCATGAATTGTTTTCAAGGAATAATAATCTAGTAGAAACCCCCTTCCGTAAAACGCCGTGAAAATTGTTTTTGTTGGTCCCACCCTTTCGCAATCCATGATGGTATCAAGCCTACATGAGGAAAGCAATCATCAAAAGTCTAAAAGCTTTTTTAATCTTTTTTACGTTTGTTCATAACATTTGGCTCTTAGTCGCTCTCGACCTCGACGCCGTCCATGGCGTTGGGGTTCACTTCGGTTACCTCGCCTGAAGCAGAGCTCCAGTATCTACGTACACATGTCAGTACTCGCAATTCTCGGGGAGCCGGCCTCGAAAGGAAGGCGGGGGAACAAAAAAGGAACAAGAAACTTACGCAAGAACCTTGACCTTGAACTCGCTCAAGCAGATCCCAAACAGCTTCAACAGCCTCGTCTGCCGACTGTCGAGCACATCGCCCTCCTTGCAGACGGTGTATCCCTCGCCCTCGCCAGAGTCGTCGCCGCCGAGGCAGACGCGGCCCTTGACCATGCGCGTGGGCATACCCAGGCGTCGGAGCTCGGGCTCGATGCTGTGCTCCATGGGCACGTCGTGCTCGGCGGGCACCTCACCGCCCGTGGCGTAGACCACGCCGGCGGGGATGACGAAGTCGCGGGTGGCGACGGTTCCCGCGCGCGCGAAGTCGACGGGGGAGACGCCGTCAAAGTACTCGAGGATGGAGGCCGGGTCGCGGTTGGTGAAGATGAGGCCGACGGTGCCGGCGAGGAAGGGGGTGAGGCGCTCGATGCCGTCTGCGACGGCGGAGGAGGGGTCTTGGCCTAGGGCCTTGGCCATGAGTTTCGTCTTGCCGAAGAAGAGTCTATTAGGTGGCAGGGCGGGTTAGCTTGGTGGGTTTAGATAGGGGCAGCTCATGTATGAGCCAGTGTATTCTGCCATGGTGCACCACCATAGGTGTGGTATCACGGGTTGAGTAGACTTGGAGAGAAGCTGTAAAAAGAACGGACCTGCAGTCGTTGAGCTCGTGGCGGACCTCCTTGAGGTAGTTGTTGCGCATGTTGTTGACGCCAAAGACGAAGCAGTGCTGGTACTGCGGCACCGACTCGCGAATGTTGGAAAAGAGCTTGTCCTTTTGTTCGCGCGTCTTCTTGTTCACCTGGGTCAGGTTGACCACTCTGTTGCGCTTTGACTTGGGCATCTTGGCGGATTGTGCTGGGTTGTCGACTTAAATTAAACAATTGGCAAATATCCCCTTATTCGGCTTTCCTTGATAGTTGCAGGACGGCTCGGCGAGGTACTTCGTCGAATCCGGGAGGGTGGTTGGTGGGAATCGGCGCAAGTCAAGTCGTCGAGGTTTCGCGGTGCACCGTACAATGGGAAATATTTCTGGCCGACCGCCTTTGGCACAAAATTTCCCAAAATTTTGGCGCCCAGGTGCAGGAGGGACCACCGCCGCCGCAACTTTTTTCTTGAACCCCGCAATGCGCTAGGTGGAACGATTATCCGCAGGGTCCCGACAGGGGCTACCATCAGTCACCGAGCTCACCGAGTGTAGATGGAGTGGTCAGTGCACCGGTGAAGGCAGTGTATTAGAGCCAACTCAAATTGCATTGTTCCATGAAAACGCCGGTTTCCTAACCATCCAGCGTCTCTTTCATTCAGTTCATTTATGTATATGGACAGATCAACCATGCCATCTACTTGACTCACCAGGGTGATCTTACGCCCTGGGTACGAACGAGTCCCGCAATGCCAACTACCTCTCTACGCCAGGTACGTGTAAGTGTTGCCCTCGCGTTCCAAGTAATCCTTGTCAATCAGGCTATGAGGTGTTAGCAACGCTTCGTTCCGCCAACGACACGGAAGTCACTTACTTTTCTATTTCCTTCTTGATTTGCGCCGCATCAACTGCACCTCGGTTCTTGGTCAAGTTAATCACCTCCGCAACCAGCTCGCCGTGGCTCATCTCCTTGCGACTCTTCATGATGCGCACAATGGCTGCCTGTGTTTCGAACCGTCTGTCCTGGGCGATACGCTCGTGTGTCGCCTTGTTCTCTTCCTTGGTCTCCTTGAGCTGAATCTGGTTGATCTTAACTCGGATCTTTGGGTGTATGAATGCCTTGTTAATCGTGAACGTGTCCGTCGGGTTGACGTCCCTCCCCTTGGGACTCTTTGTAAGCACGCGAACCTGGCCGCAGGCGAGAGATTGCAATGTTCGGTTCAGTTCCTCTCCTTGCAGGTTTGTCGAGCGAGCAATCTGTTCGTAGCCGAGGAAGCCCTCGATGCCGACCTCATTGAAGAGAACGAGGATGATGGCTTGGTACGCGCTGACGAGAAGCTCCTTTGTACCCTTGGGGAATTTTGCCTTGACCGTGCAGTGCGCTAGTGCGTGCTTCCAGTTGAGCAGCCGGCCCGTGTGCTTGTTCTTGTAGTACTGGTCGAATCGCTCAATCTGCTTGGCAACATCGTCTGGCAAGTGCACCTTGACGTCGGGATATGTTGGCCAGGCCGCCTGTGACAGGATCATTACCGACAGATCGACAGGGGCTCTATCCACGCCGGTGCCTTCCGACCACTGCTTGTAGGCTTCCATTTCCTCCTTGGCCACCTCGACGTCCTTGAACATCTGCTCCAGGTTGTGAGTAAAGTTCATACCACACTCCTCGCGGAGCTTCCGCAGCATGTTACGCTCGGCATCCTGACTAGCGCTTCTACCCATGAGCAGACGGCGAGCCAAGTCTTTCTTGTAGAACGCTTCGAACGCGTCCTTGCCTTCAATGAAACGGAAGAGCTCCAGGGCCTGGTCCAATTGCCGGTCGAGCTCAGCGTCTTCGTCGCCGGCGCTGGCTATACCGCTCTGCTCTGCCGCAGCTCGGTCGATGTTATCTGACAGAAGTGTTTTCGGCAAAGCCTTGATTCCACCGCGAAGCAGCATGTCGACATACTTTGCGATCATCTCGCCAACCTTGGATGTTCCGGAGCTCCACGTCGTTGCAATGCTGCGATCGTTCATAAAGTCTCCAAAAGCGTTCCTGAGCTCGTTGACAAAGTCTTGGTCGCCGCCATAGGCGTCGCGCACAATGAGGCTTAGTGACCTCTTAAGTTCAAGAAGCCTCTGGACCATGTCGTCGCCGCGCTCCTTGTCAGCAACAATGGCAGCACCCGTCTTCTTGATATATGTGCTCCAGGGCTGCTTGAGCTTCTTCTGTATATCGGACAGTCGCAACAAATCGTACAGGGCCTTCATGGAGTCTACCTCATGGTCGGAAAGGAGCTTGGAAAGACTCTCACTGTTGAGAAGCTTGTCGGAATACTTGTTCACAAGGATACCGTGCGCGGCGTCGAGCAGCTGCTTCTTGGTTGTAGAGTCGAAGTTGTACTCGTTGCAGCGGTAGTCCTCCTTCTTCAGCAGCCTCTCACACGCCGAGATATACTCCTTCAGGCTTGACGCGCTCCTCTCCTCTGCGAAGTCCTCAAAGAATGTCTCTGATAACTCGATGAACCGGGGCTCGAAGTATTTGGTGTAAATGTTGAATACGTGTAGCATCATGACCGAGTCCTTGAGCAATGCCGCTTCGAACCGCTCGTCCCCTGTTCGGTCGTACGAGATCAGGTCGTACATGCCCCGCAACGCCCTGCCACCGGGCGTCTGACCATCTGGGTCGTCGCGGGCCGGGAACGCCATCCTCCTGAACTGTGAAATGGTCAAGTCGTTGATGGAAAGGTAATTCTTATTCTTTAGGAGGTAGGTACGATCAAGGTAAGTGAACGTGGACCGGATCGTCATCTGTGTCGCGCGTTAATGCCAAGCCAGGGCGTAGAAATCACCTCGTAGACTCACAATCTGGCCATTCCACACCCTCCAGTGCTCGAGGACGCTCTTAAGCATGGCTACATCTGTGCTGCCAGCTCGGGACTTGATTGACCGTAGTACATCTTGGGTGAGGTGCTCCTCGCACTTTCGCCGCAAGGTCTCGTACAGCTGCAAGTCGCTGTCTTGGCCGCGCCTGCATATATCTTCCACGGCCCGAGATAGCCTCTCCAACGGTAGCTTTGGCTTGCGCCCGCTGAAGATCTCGTGCAAAGCATCGACCAATTCCTGCTCGGTCCGTTCGTAGTACTTTTCCAGCTTCTCGTTGGTGGCCGAATGTCGAAAGTTCTTGATGATCAGCTTCTTCGCGCCCGTATATGGCCGGTACGAGTTGGATTGCGTCAGGTCAATGACCTCGGGCAGCTTGCCCTTCATCTTGGTAGACATGATATTGTGAGAGGAAGGGTCGTCAGCGCCAAACTTGAAGCGCTTCGGGCTCGGTCTGTTGGACTGCTGCTGGTGCGGGGCGACGGAACCGGAGCGCGAGACGTCGGAATCTTGGCGGGGTCTTCGGCGTAGAGGGTTATGGTTGTCGTTGACCGGCGCTGCGCCGCCTGTCCTTCCCGTCGCCCGTGATGGCAAAACTCCCTCGACTGCGGGGGGTGAATTCGACGGCATGGACCGTGTGGCCCTGCAACAACTTTTGTCCAAGCTGTTACAGACGTACTATGCGCTCTCGTGGAGATGGGATGGTGTGGGCAGGGCGGGGTGGCCAGGTTGAAATCGTAGCAGGCAATCTTCTTTTGAGTGAATTGTCGGGTGTTTGCAGAGAAGCTTGTCACAGAGAGGTTGGGGAGTACAAAAGTCGTGATTGCGGGAGAGTTGTCGCGGAGTTAAACGCGGAGCTATGGACGCCATTAATAAATCACCACCACCACGGTCGTTAGCATCATCCATTTAGCACGTCCCCTTATCGTCAGTGACAGGGATTAGATAAGACATGGACCCCACCACACCTCACTTCTCGTCGTCACGTCAAACGGTCCCACCACAGTAAACACCCGATCCCATTGTCCCCGGGCACTCCACAATATGCTTCACTCAAGTCTGTACTAGTTAACAAGATTGTAACGCCTACTTACCTGCTTAATATGCCTAACATTCTTATTCTTTTTATTTTTTCTACCATTTCTGCTATTGTTATTGTCCTCTATATATTCATTAGGGAATACTCTTTAAAGAATGAATAGGGATAGGGATAATAGGCACATGGATTATAGAAAAATAGCCTGGGAGGGTACCGATAGAGCGGCAATCGGATTAACGCCCACTTGCTTGGGTAAGGTACCGTATTAAAAGAAGATTACTATAGAGTCGCCTTTCCATAATAACATTTAGTAGACGTTACGATAGCGTACTTTTCGGATACCTAGTTGTGTCAGTCTTTATGCACCCCTCTTCTTGCCCTTGTACAGGCATAGAGATATAGAGGCGCAGGCGTGATCGCCTCTTCAAAACTGATCACTGAATGCATTGCAAAATCTTCGGAATGAATCTTTGATTATCTATGCATACGCTGCCCATCCCGAGTAGAGGACGGCAAGATTACTTATGTCGGTCGCTTGGTTGATCAGGTCGTTGACCGTTGCTGTTACGCTCAACGTCGTTGACAACTTCCCCCGTACCACCTCCAAAGCCCGGTTAGCCTCCGACGGCTCATTGACCTGCTGCCCCTTTTTACCCTTCCCACCGTCTTCATCACCTTCGTCGTCGTCCCTGTTGTATTCATCTCCTTGTACTTCTCTCTGTAGTTTTGCCAGGCGGACGGGAGAAATGGACCATGAGTACAAAGGATCGTAACGCAGGACGTCGAGTATCGTCATGATCGAGTAGGTCTCCTCACGCAAGGCGTGTAGTGTGAACTCGCAGCAGCGCCGGAAGACGCCCTCAGTCCCAGTGATGCCCATTCCGTCCACAATGTCTCGTGTCAGCCGGAACGGGACGAGTTCTGGCACGGGGAGGATGCGACCCATCTCGAACGCGACACCCAGGTCGATATGCACGACCTCACCCGTCTTGCTATCTAGCAGAATGTTGTGGCCGTGCCTGTCGCCGAGACCGAGCACATGGCCAAGCATTGAAATAGCTGCAGTCGTACGCGTGTATGCGAGGCGCTTGGCAAACCACTCGTCAGGATCGACAAAATTCTCCATGAAGAAGTATTTCATCACGGGATGGAACTTGTCTATGACTTTCCTATAAGCGGTAATCCGATGCTCGACAGTCTTGCCTTGCGCATTAGAAATGTCTTTTCTGCATTGAGAGCCTTTGAGGTCCTTGGGAAAGTATCTCTCGTGGGCTGGCATGAGAAAATCGTGCAATGGAAT